TTTGGGCGTTGCTTCTCTTACTACTTCCTGCTGGAGGGGGGCGCTGTATCTTATGGGGAAACAAAGAAAATTTTAGGATTATGAAATAGTCCATGAGGGTGTATCGTCTGAGCCAGTTGCCTTCAAACCATTCTGGATGTTGGATCATCTGGGCCATGGTGTCATCGGAGACCTTTCAGGGGGTCTTGGCTGGTCAAACCTGATGTGTCTTAATCTGGAACAAATCCATAGCCTCTGGCTTTCTGTGGAAACAAAAGCAGAGCCTCCTTTCCAAAGTAACATATCCTTATATCCAAATTTTGAAGTCAAGGTACCTTTAAAATATACATTTTGGCATAACTCAACAGCTTTTACAATCAAATGTTTTTCTGCAGTTAAAAGTCCCAAAGACAACACAATGCAGATTCTCTGTGTAATATCCATTTTTACGTGGCTTATTTTTATACTACCTTTACTGTCTCTTTAAAGACTTTATTTTTTAAAACTATGTATTTGTTTCTATAACTCTATATATCATCTTTTTTGTCTCTTTCAAGCCTACGTATCTTTTACACACATTGTAAACTATTACATCTGAATCTGTCTTATTGTGAATCTATTGCCTTAAACTGCAGCAGCTGTGGCTGCTGGCTCCACCCACCTCAGCTTCCCAACATGGCCATGGTTTACCGCCAGCTCTGGGAGCTATCGGGGGTCTATGCTTTTAGCCAAGCAGCGTGTAGCCCAGAAACCTCCCCTTTTGCTCTGCACCAGCAAAGGCTAAATCCACCATGCAGCTCAAAGTGCCACTTGCAAAGGCCTCATTCCCGCCATAGGCAGGTCGAGCACGCATGCTAGGAACCCACCAGTAGCTCAAACCAGCAGCTGCCGCTCATTTGAGAGAGACAATTAGGAACTGTTTTTAGCTCCGTTTTAGAATCTTTTCTCAGGTTTTAGGTGGAAACTCTTGCCACCACGTTAGACGCCATTTGTAGTTAGAGTTTTCCTGCCTGGCCCACAGTCAGGACAAATCTCTCTAACCTGCCAGTCCCACAGCCTTTCAAACCCAACCAAGTAAACACAGAGGCTTATTTTGCTTACAAACTGTATGGCCGTGGCAGGCTTCTTGCTAACTGTTCTTACAGCTTAAATTAACCCATTTCTATTAATCTATACCTTGCCACGTAGCTCGTGGCTTACCGGTATCTTCACATGCTGTTTCTCATCATGGCAGCTGGCAGTGTCTCTCTGACTCAGCCTTCCACTTCCCAGCTTTATTCTCCTCCTTGTCCCGCCTACACTTCCTGCCTAGCCAATGGCCAATCAGTGTTTTATTTATTAACTAATTAGCAACACATTTGCCATACAGAACATTCCACAGCATTTACAGGTTAAGGAGCTTAAGTAGGTGAATGTAGGAATAATGGCTAAGAGAAGGTGCCTGCTGAGGTAGGTTTGTGGTGATGGGCAATAGGTTTTCAGGAAGGTGACAGGATCAGCTATAGTCCAAACAGAACCAAACCGCATCTATTTCTTTGTTGTTGTTGTTGTTTTGAGTTTTATTTGTTTGTTTGTTTGTTTGTTTGAGACAGGGTTTCTCTGTGTAGTCCCGGCTGTCCTGGAACTCACTCTGTACACAAAGACGACCTCGAACTCAGAGATCTGCCTGCCTCTGCCTCCCGAGTGCTGGCCACATCTATTTCATAGTACAGATCTCATCTGCTGTTGTCCGTAACGTTTTAAAGTCACCTTGTATTTCCAGGCATTCAAGACAGTGATGGGAATATATGTATCAGACTCCATCTATTTTCAGTCAGCATGGTAAACTCACCTGAATTAACTCTATAAGGCTCGGCCAGAATTCTGTATATGGTAAACAAAGTGCCACTCGCTCTTTGCTTTTTTAAAACCTCTTTCAGATGGTTACAAATATCCCCTGGACAGCCGCCCCCGATCCCCGCTAAATGACTCCATCAAACCAGGATGTCCCGGCACGCGAGCTAACAACGTACCTGTAGGCGTTGTACTTGTGGATTGCCTGGCTCACGTTCTTCTCAAAGTTTGCGAGTTCTGAAAAGACAACAAAAGAGCTCGAGTGAACCAGCGCACAGCCGGGCACTGCGGTCCCGGGAAGCGGGTGTCGGGGGGTTCCTCCCGGGACGGATGCGGCTGGCACGGACGCTGCGGCTGCGACCGGGGGGCCAGAAGCGAGGCCCGGCTGAGGAGAGGGACTCACCCACGAGCATGTCGGTGATGCCGCCGTTGAGCGTCTCCTGCGGCGCCTTGCGTTTGCTCATGGTGCCAGGGACCCACACCTGGGGCCTACCGGTGGACAATGGCGGCCCCTGACAGGGCGCGGCGCGGTGACGTCACTCACGCGCCGGGCGGCGGGGCGGGGCTTAGCGGGTGCCCCGGCGAGAGCAAGAAATCCCTGGACCGCCCGGGAGCGGGGAGGACAATTGCACCTTAGTGGATTAACCTGAGCTCCTAGCTGCGTTCCTGGTCCGAGAGCAGTCCGATTTAGAGCCTGGGATGCAGAAGGCAGTGGACGTTGGCCGCTGTGGAAGGCATGGCCTGTACTTTATGTGTGGAGTGCCCGCGCCAGGTCTGCTGTGAGGATCCAAGTTGCTCTGTGCTCTTGGGCACCGGGGAAAACATGGAATGAAATATGCCAACCAAAACTTTTTAAGCATGTCTGTTAACCAACGGCTAGAGATGTGGGTTTTTGTTTTGTTTTGTTTTGTTAAATATCCATGCCTTTTGTGGGAGAAGCTGAGTTATGAAAAGACCACACGGGAAAAGTGTCTGACTTAGCTGATCAGCAACGAAGTCCTCATACCATATGGCTTAGATGTGAGACCCTTACAATTTGCTTGAATTGCAATATAGCACCTGCGCTATTTAGGTGTACCTCTGGGTCTCATATTAACTACAATTGCAGCAACTGATCTGAGCATAAAGTTAAATTGTTATTATGATACACACTAGTGTAGGTAAATCTGAAGAGGATGAAAGGAGAAAGGAAAATCAAAATCAATGATAGTCTTGTCATCCAGCTTAGCCGTTATTAGTATTTTGGAACATACACCTTTCCTTTTCTACTCCAGTCCTAACTTTTAAATTTTCCATTATTGTTGTTGCTTGTTTATTTTTAGTTTTTGTTTTGTTCTGAGATGGGATGTCTCTATGTAGTCCAGACTGTCATAGAACTATGTAGCTCAGGGTGGCCTCAAACTCACAGAAATCCTCCTGCCTCAATCTCCTGGGTGCTGGGGTAAGTATGCACCACCAGGCCCATCAATGCATTGTTATTATTTTAGTAATAAAGAAATGCTTTAGTTAAATGACATACTTTTATTATTAAGGATAGAGCACTGCTTTAGGTATGGGATATACAGTAATGACAAGTCTTGTGCACATTTCCATGACATGTGGTGATAAAGTGGCCTAAAGCCAAGTCAAGAATATGAGTGTGATTCATTGTGAGAGTGCATGCTTGTCAGAAATGAGGCCCTCAACACTGCACACCCGCACCACTGCACACTCTCCATACTGCACACCCACCACACTGCAACCCTCAACACTGCACACCCACCACACTGTACACCCTCAACACTGCACACCCACCACACTGCACACCCACCACACTGCACACCATCAACACTGCACACCCACCACACTGCACACCCATAACACTGCACACCCACCACACTGCACACCCATAACACTGCAAGAATAAACAAAACAAAGCAAGGCAATAGGACAGCTCTTGGGAACTCAGAGACAGGGGTTAAAGCACTGGTTCTCAACCTGTGGGTCATGACCCCTTTGGGGGTTGAATAATCCTTTTGCAGGGTCATCTAAGACTATCAGAAGACACAGACATTTACATTATGGTTCATAACAGTAGCAAATTACAGTTATGAAGTAGCAACAAAATAAGTTTATGGTTGGAGGGTCATCACAACATGAGGAACTGTATGAAAGGGTCACAGTGTTAGGAAGGTTGAGAACCACTGATTTAGAAAGAATGCTTAAAGAACACCTTTTTCATAAAGGTCCCCATGCAGAGACATAATGAAGACGAAGGGGGCATGAGGATAACAATTGGAGTGGTCCCTGTAGAAGCAGCAAAGACCACCTCCAAAGCTTCAGCTACAAAGTTCTGCACGAACTGGAACAAGTTCACTGGGCCTGAGGATCATCAGGGAGCCAGTGTGGGCGGTAAAACTAGAAAAACAAGGGACTCTCTAGCCTCTGGCTGGACTTGGCTGTCCTTTTCCTGCATCACATCCTCAGCACTTAGCAGCACTTTTTCTGTTCTCCTTTCTAAATGTCCCTCTATACCCACGTGTACATTTGTGTGCACAGGGGCATTCTAGGCCAGAATACACATGAAGTAGAACATGCAGCCTTTTTTCTTTTTGAGGTTGTGTATCCTTGTTTAATAATATATATTCTAACTCCACCCATCCTCTTGAAGCTTGTGATTTCATTTTAGAGATGAATAATATCCCACTTTATATCTGTACCAGATTTTTATTACTCATTCATCTGCGGATAGACAGACATCTAGACTTTTTCCATTTTCTTGCTATAGTAAATGGAGCAGCAACAAAAATGGATATGCAAATATCTCTAGGGTAGGGCGTGGAAGTCTGAGTATGAGCCCAGGAGTGAACTGCTGCATCATACTGAAGTTCTGTTTTTAATGTTTGAGGAACCTCTGAACTGATTTCCGTAATGGCTGTATTAGTTTGCACCTCTAGTAGCCATGAAGAATGTTCCTCTTTTACCATATCCTCTCCAACATCTGTTATTAGATTTCTTGATGATTGCTGTTCTGACTGGGCTGGGGTGGGATCTCAAAGTAGTTTTCTTTTTTAATTTTTATTTTGCAATACAATTCAGTTCTACATATCAGCCACGGATTCCCTTGTTCTCCCCCCTCCAGCCCCCCTCACCTTCCCCCCAGCCCACCCCCCATTCCCACCATTTCCCTGATGACTAGGGATACTGAACACTTTCAAGAATATTTATTGGCTTTGTACTTTTTTGTTTGTTTTGAGACAGAGTTTCTCTGCATAGCTCTGGCTGTCCTAAAACTCACTGTGACCAGGCTGGCCTCAAACTCACAGAGATCTGCCTGCCTCTGCCTTCTGAGTGCTGGGATTATCTCTGTAAATTCAAGGGCAGCCTGTTTTGCAGAATGAGTTTCAGGACAGCCAGGGCTTTACACAGAAAACGCTGTCTCCAAAAAACCAAAAAAAAAAAAAAAAAAAAAGGTTTTGTCCCCCCCCCCCCTTTTTTTCAAGACAGGGTTTCTCTGTGTAGCTTTGCATCTTTCCTGGAACTCACTCTGTAGCCCAGGCTGGCCTCGAACTCAAAGAGATCCACCTGGCTCTGCCTCCCAAGTGCTGGGGATTAAAGGCGTGTGCCACCACTGTCCGGCGCTTTGTAGTTTTTAAAAACCTGTTGATTCAGTTCATTAGACCATTTCTTGAATGACAGTTTTATTTCCTTGGTATTTGGTTTCTTTGTAAATTCTGGATATCACTTCCTCATCTGAAGTATAACTGGTAAAGATTTTCTCCCTTCTGTAGGCTGTAGGCTTGGCTGATAGTTTTTCTTGCCATGTCAAAACATTTTAATTTCATGTCGTCCCATCTGTTGACACCTGGGTCTAGTTCCTACGCTATTAAAGTTCTGTTCAGAAAGTTCTTGCCCACCCCAGTATCTTAAAGAGTGTTCCCTACATTTTCATCCAGGAGTTCCAACAGTTCAGGTTTAAATCAATGTCTTTCATCCATCTTGAATTCTTCTCTGCACAAGGTCAGAGACGGGCGTCTAATTTGATTCTTCTTGGAGTGGAAAGGCTCTCATTTTTCCACCGCATGTCTTTGATTAAGAAACAAAAACCAGCCAGGCATGGAGGCATGACTAATTCCAGCACTTGGGAGGCAAGGGCATACAAAAACTGCTGCAACTGTGGTCCAAGGAGGCAGCCAATTTGGAGGTGTGCATGTGTTAATGGTTTTGGAGACCAAGAAGATGCAAGTTGAGGGGATCACAGATTGTTTCTCCCTGGTTTCAGAAAGCCGCTGAGGCAAGACAATGTGTAGCAGGGTCAGTGTCTGCAGGGACATTGCATAAAGTTGGAAAGGAGAAGTCTGGGTTGTGTTGGAGATTCCAGAGCCATGAGATACTTGCCAACAAGAGCTGCATACATACAGAGTGGAACAAATCCATGTGAGCAAAGTCTATTACAGAAAGCAAAGTTGGAGGGGCCAAGCCATCTAAGCCCTTAGAAATCCAAAACCCCAATAACAGACACGGAGCCACAGGATTGGACATTTGCCCTACTGGTGGTGATATATTGTGTATCAAATAAAGCTTGCCTGAAGATCAGAGGACAGAGCCAGCCACTAGATTAAACATAGAAGCCAGGCAGTGGTGGCACACACCTTTAATCCTAGCACTTGGGAGGCAGAGATCCGTTTGGATCTCTGTGAGTCCAAAGCCACCCTGGACGACATGAAACTGATTCAGTCTAGGAGAGAAACAGAGCCAGGCAGTGGTGGCACACACCTTTAATCCCAGCACCTGAGATCTCATGCCTTTGCTACCAGTAATTGGGAAGCACATAAGCCTTTAATCCCAGCACTAGGAAGGAAGTGAAATAGCTGGGCGGAGAAAGGCATCTAAGGCATGAGGAGACAGCATTGTGGGTGTTACTACCCTTGGGCTGGTGGTCCTGGGTTCTATAAGAAAGCAGGTTGAGCAAGCCATGAGGAGCAAGCCAGTAAGCAGCAACCCCTCCACGGCCTCTGCATCAGCTCCTGCCTTCACATTCCTGTCCTGACTTCCTTTGATGATGAACTGTGAGGTAGAAGTATAAGCCCAATAATTTCTTTCCTCACCCACTTGCTTTTTGGTCAGAGTTTCATCGCAGCAATAGAAACACAAACTAAGACATTGGTCTTTTGGGGAAACAGAAGTAACCCTTGAATTTAACTTCGTCATAAATTATGATGGTCTGGTGACAAACTTTCCAAATCATTGCTTTGGGTTAATGTCATTTTCTTATATAAAGTTTTCCTGTGACTCTTAATTGCTTATTAAACCACAGCTCTTAGCCCAACATTCATTCCCCTCCCAAGCTGATCTCCTTCCATCCTTTCTGGTCTTATTCCCACTGCGCCCTTTCCAGGGTTTCTAAAAGCATGCTTTGACTCCAGTACTTCTGGATGTTAGTAAACACTGAGCGCACATGAGGGGTGGGGCTCTGTGGTCAAATGACATTACTCACGGATGCGTTTACGTTAGCTAAAGCCAGTGTCTTTATTATAAGTTTTCAGATAGTTTACGAGTGGACAGCATGATTCTCTAAGAAGCAATTAAAATGTGAAGCCCCTTCTGAACACGTGACCATTGGTGCTTCATGCTGTCTCTGTGGTGGCCATTTGGACTTCCTCTGTTCCAACTTTGTTTATTCTCTAACCAAATATACCTGTTTATGATAACCTGAGACTGTTTTGCTTTTATATATACACGCACATGTGCACATACACAAGCGCGTGCGCACGCGCGCGTGTGCGCACACACACACACACACACACACACACACACACACACAAGTTTTGTTGAAATGGCTCACCATCTAGATATACGCTATTTAATTTTACAAAATTTTCTATGGTGTTGAATTTTGAGCTCAAAAGAACTAGTGATGGTATATTGTAGGAAAACACATTTGAGACTAGAACATATATATATCTGAGTAATGTTACAAAAATATAGAAACTATTTATAAAATACACCATTTTAATAATGCTGCTAGGTAACGTAAGAGGCAGCAACATCCCATCCTACACACACGCACACTTGTGCATGCACACTCCTGACAGGTACGGAGGAGTGGTAGAGTGTTCCGCAGAGCAGTAGATGGCAGAAGCCCTTCATCTTCCTTTCGTCTCCATGACAATTGATGCCAGGTAATCTTTGGGAGTCAGGAGAGGGCAGCTGCCTTTCTGTTCTGCCAGGCTCTGTAAGTGGCTCACTCTGTGGCTTAAAGGACCAGGAGAGCAGGGAGCTTGGCATCACCACAACTCAGTCAAAGGTCATTTGCCACAGCGACCAGCACAGGAAGCAGAAAGAATATTTACCAGCAGTGAGGTGAAAAGAAGAAAGTCAGGACCATCAAATTTAGGATTACGAGTCCAAGAGAGGCTGGATCCAGATGAAGCCCGAGCTGTAAGGCGAGGAAGGATGGGCAGGGCAGGTCTCCCTCCCATCAGTGGTCCAAAGGGGACAAGTTGGCTGCTGTCTGGAAACACTCAAGATGGACATTTGCCATATGCCGTGTGTGGCAAACTACTCAGAGCTTTCTTCTTATAGCAGAGGAAGCAGCGAGGAAGCTTTGCCGCTGTGAATGCCTGTAACTGGCACTTCCTGTGCTTCTGGGGTAGAGGAGGTCCGGTGTGTAGACGGGGCCAGCAGTAGGCTGCTGAGGGCAAACATCACAGCCGCTGGGAGAGTGCGATTTCCATCTGGGTGCTGGAGACACCAGACCATCATCACATCCAGAGCCATGGGGCCAGTCCGTGGAAACCTCAGTCACAGGCTACCCCTTTCTTCATCCTCCATCTGTAACCAGCTCCAGTCTAGAGTCTGAAAGTTAACAGGTACATTAAACACTCAGTGGCCCGGCCGTCTTTCCTCTTCAGGAGGCAAGCAACACAATCTAGAAGTATGTTTAAAACTTTATTAGCATCAATCCTGGTACTACAGGGCACCTTTGAGCCGAGTGAGTTATACAGTCAAACGTGCAGCAGATTTCCTTTGGACTAGCTGAAGTTCCTGGAACTCTGTGCCTATGGGACGTGGAGGTCATTTTAGTACTACCTGCAGAATGGAGAGTTCATTTACACACTCACTGCAGGTAGATGGTACTCATCTCAGCTATCTGTTTCCATGCCAACCGGGGGAGGCTTCCCTTCTCTCTGGTTAAAGTGCCAGCAGGTAGTGAGGTAGAAAGCAGCAGGAGTTAGGAAGGCTCACCACTGAGACCTGTGAGCAGTTGGAGATGACGGCTGGCAGCAGGTTCTTCTGATTCCCCCAGAGTCAGAAGCGAAAGCAGTTAGTAACGGCCGCAGTCGCAGGAAAGGCCATTAGACAGCTGCTGTCATTGACGCTTTGTCTGAAAGTACCTGAATTGTGGCTAGATTTTCTTCAGGTCAGTTTCCCTGACACTAGTACTGCCTGTGGCTAAACCGTAAGTCCCTGAGCCATGAGATGATGACAGGCTCCTCTCTTGTCATGGAGGGCCAGCACAGTGCCAATCACATACAGATGGTCTGCAACCGTCCCAAAGATCGAGAAGGGGCTTCTGGGAATACTGCTGCCACCTCATTGGGATTAGGTCTCATAAGGGTTAGGACAACGAATGTACATGGTGTTTCTAAGCATGAAATAATTACAAAAGACTTAAAAATGTATGAGTCCCTGCCCAGCCAAGGCTGACACCAGGTCCCTTCTGCTCCTCCCCTCTTTTGCTGCAGAAGGGAAGGGAGTGGACAAGCTGGGGTCCCCGAGGGTTGTTACCGTGAAGCTGTGGTCTTGCTCCTTCACGGTGTCCTGCAGCGTACTTTCTAGCCGGGTGCAAAGGGCGTGGGCTTCAGCCACCAGCTCCTCACTGAAGACAATGATCAGACCACCAGAACAAGGTTGTTAGGATCTTACCAGAGCTAACATCCTGCTTTAGAATATGCTAGAGAAAAAAAAAAAAAAAAAAAAAAATAAAAAAAAAAAAAAAAAAAAAATAAATAAAAAAAAAAAAAAAAAAAAAAAAAAAAAAAAAAAAAAGAATATGCTAGAGAACTCTCATACTGTTCTAAAAACAATGTAGGAATGACTCGGGTCTTAATGCACCACATCGCTGACCAGTGATTTCATGTGTCTAGTTAAATACTTTACAGATGCTTAGATCCCATGAGAGACAGATAACATGGTTGAAAATATGGAACAGGAAACAGATCTTCATATAATAAAAAAGCAAAAGACTGTTAAAACGGATTTGTTTTTATTTTATGTGCATAGGCGTTTGCCTGCATGCATGAATGTTTGTGCACATTGTACATGCAGTGCCCATGGAGGCCCAAAGAAGCCATCGGATCCCCTGGGACTGGGGTTACAGATGGCTGTAAATTGCCATGTGGGTGCTGAGAACTGAACTTAGGTGCCCTGCAGCAGCAGCCAATGCTCTTACCTGTTGGGCTGTCTTAGCCACAGGACTTCTTTTTGATTCACATATAACCAAATTTCTTTCCAAAGTGCCAAAATCTAAAAATGTTCCCATCACCTGTGTTCTGAAGGTTCTTTTTGGGTGGCCGGGGGGGGGGGGGGGGGTGGGGTGGGGGTGGGGGGGGTGGGGGTGGGGGGGGGTGGGGGTGGGGAGGAAGAGTGCTAGGACTTGAATCCATACTGGTCAAGTGCTCTCCACTGAGCTATAGCCCCAACTCACAGTTTTTGAAATGGATAATGAGCTTCCACAGTGCAAAGTTCAGGGAAGAGACTACATCTAGACTCAATAACTGGTTTTCTAGTCTTTGTGGCACAGGGGCAAACCAAACAAACCGTGTCCTTTTCCAACCACAGCCGTGTGACACAGAGCTAAGACAGTCACCCCATCCCTGCTCATACTCATAGGCTAACCTTTCTGCGCACTGGGGATATCACTGGAGGAAAAGGACCAAGAGACGGAGTCCCAGACCTCCCTTCTCCTTCACATGTGCCCTTCGCATGAGAGAGAAGCAGGAGTGCATCCATAGGGCTCCTAGCTAGGCTAAAGGCTCACGTCAGCTCTGGAGATCTCTGAGAGGTCCAGGACCCAGTGTCTGACCTCCAGAAGCTTACAAGAAGTGGGCAAGTTAATTAAGACTCCACAGTAACATACAATTAAATACCGAAGGCTATACTCCCTAGGATCAACAATGAGAGTTTTCAAAACAGCTTTATTGTTGTGTAATTTGTTATAGAGTTTGCCTGTTGACATGGTAACAACCCTATGGCTTCGGCATATGTAGAGCTGCACAATCATCACTATTGATATCTACTTACAGAAGTGTTTTTATCATCCCCCAAATAAACCTTATACCCATTACCAGTCAGTTCATCCCTCCCCACACTCACTGCCGGCCATCATCCACCTCCTCCCTATACTGCAAGACTTACCAACAGGAACTGCTTTAAGAACCTGTAACACAGGGGGCCCAGTATGCAGAAGAAATGAACAATAGTGAATGTGAAGGCCCGGAAGCAGTGTGCCTTGCAGGCAGAAATCACAACTAAGGCCACCTGAGGAAGGCGGGTCTGTCTGGTCAGGGAGCAAGTCTTTGTACTTCAGTGTACAGCAGAACCGTCAGATCTGCTGGGTACCACCCCAGTTCAGAGGGTCTTCAGTGGGACCCTACAAACTATTGTTATTGTTGCTGCTGCTGCTGCTTCAGGTTGGACTAGACTAAAGCAAGCCATCTGTACCTGACAACAGGCTAACCCAAGAACCACACCGAGGCGTTCACAAACGCTTTGAATAGTTGAAACCTGATCTAGAATGGAGAAGAAACCCACTGTTGTTACTGATCCAACAACTTGGTAGGAATGTCACCCCAGGTCAACAGAAGACTTGGCTGGAAGTTAAGAGGCAGGAAGCAAAAGAGGAGCTAAAAGCCCTGCCAGGGAGGGGCTATAGTGTCCGCCAGGAGAAAAGAAGGTCTGTGAAATGGGTCAGCAGGTAAAGGCACCTGCGGGCAAGCCTGGTGACTTGAGTTCAATCCCCAGGACCCACACGGTGGAAGAAGGGAACCTGTGTTCACAAACTGCCTTTTGACCCCGGCAGTGTGCCTTGGCACACACTCTCACACACAGGAATTAAAAAAAAATAAATAAAAATTTTAAAAAGGAAAAGAAAAGAAGGGCTGACTGGAGCATGAGGGAGGTACTGGGTGGGAACGGCAGCCCAGTCACTCTGGAGGGAGGGGCCTGAGAGGCCTGAGAGGGAGAAGGCCAGAGACTCAGGTGTGACAAGGAAGGCACACCTGAAGTGGGTTTTAAAGAACCATTAGCATCCATGTACAACATGACTAACCATTTCAACATTCTCGCTAAACAATTTGTCACCGAACTCTTGGACAGGGAAACTAGTTAGCAAGTGACAAGGGACTTTAGGAACAGAATTAAAAACCATGCCTGTGTCCCCAGGACCCGGCAAACACGAGACAGAGAAGCACACACAAGATCCTCAGGCGGGAGGGATTGGTGACGAGCACGTACATCCACTCTCTCCCCACGTGCCCTTGAACGTTAACGCTTGGCACTGTTAAGCACAGCTTACCTTTTCTTGGCTGAGTCAGGTAAGCTGTCACAGGCACTGGACGACTGGGACATCAGCTGACCAGGGTGACTAAGCCGAGACACATTCATGCTATCTGGGCTTCCACTGACTGGACCTCGAACTTTGCTCTGAATGACAATAAAAAAAGATAATCAACAAAACTATGGGGTCAATGGGCTGGGGAGATGGCTCCGAGGCTACTCAGGCCCTTGTAGAGGACCTGAGTTTGGCTCCTAGCACTCATACTGGGTGGCTCACGAATGCATCTAGCTCCAGTCCCAGGGGCATCCGATGCCTCTGGCCTCTCAGACATCTGCACTCATGGGCATATACCCACATGCAGACACATGCATACAATTTAAAATAAATCTAAAAGAAAAGGAAGGAGCCGGGCAGTGGTGGTGCATGCATTTAATCCAAGCACTCAGGAGGCAGAGGCAGGCGGATCTCTGAGTTCGAGGTCAGCCTGGTCTACAGAGCGAGTTCCAGTTGAGCCTCTGGCCACTCCTTGGCTGGGTTACCTCATACAGTCTTCGCTGTCCCTGCTCTTTCATCACTTTAGCCAGAAGCTGTATGGCCCTACCCTCAGCCCTCAGGGTGGAGTTCCTTTCTGGCTCCGTCCCCTCCCCTCTGGCTAACCGCCAAGGTCCACCCTCAACACACCTTTTACATCAGCAGCTCTGTGCTGTTCTTCACCCATCTGCTGCCCCACCGGTGGAGACACACGGACACCTGCTTTCTCCATTTCTACCCTAGGCATGCAAGCTTGGAAGGTCATTCCATACAGACCAGCTCCCATAGCTGGGGTAGCCTATTCCCCACAGGAACCCCTCAACTCTTCTCACTGAAATGCCTTTGTCTCTTCGTGCTGAGATTTGACAGTGCCACATGCTGTGGGATGTTCTGTATGGCAAATGTGTTGCTAATTAGTCAATAAATAAAACACTGATTGGCCATTGGCCAGGCAGGAAGTGTAGGCGGGACAAGGAGGAGAATAAAGCTGGGAAGTGGAAGGCTGAGTCAGAGAGACACTGCCAGCCGCCATGATGACAAACAGCATGTGAAGATGCCGGTAAGCCACGAGCCATGTGGCAAGGTATAGATTAATGGAAATGGATTAATTTAAGCTGTAAGAACAGTTAGCAAGAAGCCTGCCACGGCCATACAGTTTGTAACCAATATAAGTCTCTGTGTTTACTTGGTCGGGTCTGATGGCTGTGGGACTGGCTGGTGAGAGAGATTTGTCCTGACTGTGGGCCAGGCAGGAAAACTCTAGCTACAGCTGCATTCTGTCACTAGCTACCATTTGAGTGATTTCTCCTGAAGTGCCGTCATCAGGAAGGGAAGAATGACCCCTTCAGGTTTTCTCTATGCTCTAAGAATAAGGGGTGTCCCACATAAGCCAGTACCAAACAAAACAAAAACACCCCATCATTTTGTATCTTGCTTCTATAATAAGCCACCTCCTTTTTTCTGCCCTTTTGGGTTGTTTTGCTATCTGGGGCAGGGTCTTACTATGTCATCCAAGCTAACCTTGAACTTCCTGCTCCAGACTTCCAGGTGCCGGGATCACAGGTGTGTGCCACCACGCTAGGTTCTCTCTTTGCTCTTGAAGCTACTAATGACTGACTTCTTCTTTTGGCATTGTCTCTTTCTTCTGGTATCTTTTCAACAACAGGTCCCTCTCCCAGCAGCTCCCGTATGCCAAGGCATGATATTACTGGCTCTCCTGCTTTGGCCAGATTTTCTTTGTTTTACTTTTTCTCCCTTAGTACTACCATAGCTGTGTTACAATAGTGTATACATGTTCACAAGTGTGTGTGTGTGTGTGTGTGTGTGTGTGTGTGTGTGTGTGTGTGCGTGTGTGTGAGAGAGAGAGAGACAGAGACAGAGAGAGAGACAGAGAGAGACAGACAGACAGAGACTGAGAGAGAACAAGCAAGTTCACATCTTGGAATAAATCTAACCCAGGCAGTGAAAATTTTTAAATAAATTGAAGAAACTTAGAAAATGGAAAGACCCCTCCGTGCTCAGTTTGATAGATAATTTTGAAAATAGCTATATTACCAAAATCACTTATATATTAAATGCAATCCCCATCAAACTTCCAAAAAGAGAAATAGACAAAACAATCTCCAACTTCATATAGAAGCACAAAGAACCCCGATTAGCAGGAAAAGTCCTGAGGAAAATGAGCAACGCTGGAGTTACCACAAACTTAATTTCAACTTACCCAGGTGAAGCAGCACAGTAATAAAAACAGCACGGTACCAGCACAAAAACAGACTCACTGGCCAACAGGACAGACAGAGCACCCAAGCATAAATCCACCCAGCTCCAGACATCTGCTCTATGACAAAGATGCCAAGAACAGTCAGGGAGGGAAGGCAGTCTCCTCAGCAAACGGTACTGGGAGAACTAGATGTCTATACACAAAAATAAGATGGGTCTCCGGATCTCATCCTACACACACACACACACACACACACACACACACACACACACACCCCAACTCCAAAGGATCAAAAGGCTTAAGATTTGAAATGATTAAAGGAAAGTATAAGGAAAATATTTCACAGGCACAGGCAAGGATTTTTTTTTTTTGCAAAGAACTCCAAGTGCTCAGGAAATAACAGAACAGATTGGGTGTATGGCATTGCATGAAACTAGAAAACTTCAGCACAGCTAAAGAAACACTACTCATCTGACAGGTAATTAATATCTAGAATATATAAAACTGAAGACCAAGAAATCCACAATCCAATGGGCTAATGAGATAAACAGACAGTTCTCAAAAGATAAAATACAAATGGCCAATAAATGCAGGAAGAAATGTTCAACATTACTAGCTATTAGGAAAATCAAATTAAAACTACTTTGAGATTCCAGCTATCCCAGTTAACCAGGGCAGTCATCAAGAAAACAAGTAACAGCAAATGTTGGCAAGGATATATACAAAAGGGAACATTTATACTCTGCTGGTGGAAACATGCAATTGGCTACCATGGAAATCAGTATAGAGGTTCCTCAAAGAAAGCACAGTAGATCTACCATAAGAGCCAGTATACCGTAACTCCTCAGCATTTAGCTAAAGGACTCCCAATGGACACACTAAAGAGACTTACACAACAGCTTTATAGTACTAGTTACAATAGCTGAGTTATGGAAACAACTTAGGTTTCCAACAACAGAAATGGACAAAGAAAATGTCATACATAGACACAATGGAATTTATCCAGCCACAAAGAATGGAATTATGTTTGCAGAAAAATGGGGCTGGAGACAATATTATTAAACAAATTAAGTCATTAGAAAGACAAGTATCACGTGTTTTCTCCCGTTTGTGGAGCCCAGAGTCTATACAGTTGTCTAAAATATCTACGCATGACATAAAGCAGAAGAGAATGAAAGAAATAAGAGGATGAGAGTGAAAATGGAAGACCGGCGGATTATGGAGGAGGAATACATGGTCACAGCACATTAGATCTTTGTATGCAAATGTCTCCGTGAAACCCAATTGTTATGTACAATGACTAGACACGAACTGAACATTCAAAAGGAAAAGGTGTGCAGAAGAAGGTCTGGACAGCAGCACAGACCTGGGCGAGGGCCAACCAGTACTGAGCAAGAGATGCCCCTGTTCTCAGTCCCGGAACCTGCAAATGTGGCCTTCCAGATAGGATTACGACCCCGAGATCATCAGGAGTTTCAAATTCAGGGACACCTCTCTTCATCTGCCCCCTAACACCTTGACAGGCTACACAACATAGCTTAGGCTGGCCTGAACTCACCATCCTCCTGTCTCAACAAGTGCTGGGATTATAGGTGTGCAACCTGTGTGTGTGTGTGTGTGTGTGTGTGTGTGTGTGTGTGTGTTGCTAGGGACTGAATCTGGGGCCTTACGCATGAGCCAAGCATCTTTCTGCTGAGCTTCATTCCTATTTTTGAATGTGTTTTTGTAAGAGACATTCAGATGAGAAACACTGATGTCACCTGAAGACACAGACACAAGGCTTGAGCCACTAAAGTAGGGGTGGAGGGGTGGGGAAGTGGAGAGGGGTAGGGGGGTGGGGAGCGGTGGCTCTGCCCTTTTTTTGTTTTTGTTTTTTGGGTTTTTTTTGAGACAGGGTTTCTCTGTGTAGCCCTGGCTGTCCTCAAACTCAGAGATCCGCCTGCCTCTGCCTCCCGAGTGCTGGGATTGAGGGCAGGTGCCACCCCTGCCCAGCGACAGCTGGATTCTTAACTTCTGGCCTCTGAAGCTCTGAGAGAGCGATGTCTGCTGTTTGGAGCCCCTCTACTTGTGGTAATGACAGTAGCCACATGGGGAAACAAAAACACCTCACAAAAACCTTCCCTTCAGGAAGCCTCCCTGCCCGCTGTCGAGCAGAGCTGAGGGGCATGCGCCTCCTCGGAGGGCAGTGGCAGACACGGGAGAAGACCTGAGAGGATGGAGCCAAGGTCACTCACACAGGCGATCTTCAGGAGGTTCCAGAGCTCCTTCTGCCGCTTCTCCTGCAGCCGGACTACAGTCTTCTCGTCATCATTCATAAGGCTCACCACCTCTTCGACCTTGGGCAGCAACTCCAGTGCCTTCTGCTTACAGACCACGGTTTTACTGTAAAGAGTAAATGAGCCACACTCCCTGTGCGCTGGGCTGGCACAGCGCTGCTCCCGACTACATTGGATCCTACCGGCAACCGTGGAGTGTTTTTTCACTGTGTAGGCAAATCAGAGCAGGAGCGCCCATCTGACTGACCCTGGGCTTGGCTGTAATTCCACCTCCTGTCCTGGAGCAGCCGAGGGAGCGCCTACCTGAGCTGTGTGTAAATCACCCGCACTTTCTTCTCGAAGCTTTGGATCGCCTGAAGCAGCAGCCGGACCATCTCCTGACTGTCACCGTCTGTCCTCTGGTCTGCGGAGGAGAGTGGCACAGTCCTCCTCCTGGCCTCCGGGGTAGACCCGTGTCGCAAAGACAAGACGAAGGGCCAGCGCCACATCCACCTACCTCTTGGCTTCTCCCTCAGTCTTCGGTAGAGTTCCCTCGCCTGTTCCTCTCTGGAAGAGAGAAAAGGCCCGTCCACGACATGTAAAGAACTAGTCTGCCAATTCTTACCAGCAGAACCGCTACTTTTTAGACAACTGGTCACATGTTCTCAGTGAGGAAAAGCCTGCCAGTTTGGGCGCTATTCATAAAACCCAAATGCCCCAAACAAGAGCGAATTTAAGGATTACATTCCTTCTCTGCTTGGCTACAGGTGCCATTTTTGGACCTGACTAAGAAAATACTTGCCCTCAAAAACGTTAGGTCCAAAGCTAGATATAAACTCCCATCTCTGCCTTTGATACAGGCAAGAGCGTCAGAAGGCCGATCGACCCTGGTTGCACACACATAGCCTGAGCACTCAGGAAGCTGAAGTAGCAGTGTTTCCGTGAACTTGAGGCCAGGCTTGGCCATCTAGCAAGTACCAGGTCAGCCAATGCTATATAGTGATACTCTGTTTTGAAAGAAACACAGGGTGGGGGTAGGGGAGGATGACACACAGGACAGGATGGGACGGGGAAGGGACAGAGACAGAGAGGAGATTCTTATTTGGAAACTTGAAGAAAGTAAAGAGTTAAAAAATAAGATACAGCAGGGAACAAATAGTTCTTTATTTTCAGATTTCTCACCCTAAGAATTCTAGTAAGAGCATCAGGGGACACTGATCACTCCAGGTGACAGAGCCCTTGACAAGCTGACCCATCTGCCTGGAACCCTTGGTCAGCACAGGGCTGCATGCTGGGTGCTCCAGGTAGGGTGGATCTGTGTGGACGCCTGGACCCCTCTTGGACACTATGTCAAACTTCTGGACTCAGCAGGCTCCTCCCTCTGTTCTACTTCCTGCTCTGGGAGCCACACTTAGACAAGGGTGGGCTGGATGAGCAGGGATGTCTGCTGCCATGGGAAAACTGCATGCGTGCGTGCGTGCGTGTATTTCACAGCCTTTAAAGGTTATTGCTTCTGAAATGTGTGGTTTGAATGGCTCCTTACATTCTGTGAGGTCACTTTTCCTTGTCATTTGACAGACCTGATTGCCAAGGTGCAGAGTAACAGCCATTTATCTTGGCTGATCACATCAGGAGACATGCCCCACAGAAGGAACCTCCTGAGGCCATCCTAACACATCAGAAACTCTACAGGGGGTCAGTGTGTTCTGGGGAACAGTGCAGTCCCTCCCTGGTGGTACTCACAGGTCATCCAGAGTGCCCCCCTGCTTCCGACCCATCGGGCTCCTCTGTAAGTCCACAATATCAGTCTGCAGGGCCATCATCTTCTCTACCAGATGCTTCACGTCATCATCCTGATGGAAAAGCTGCGCTCAAGCCAACTGATGTGAAAAGGGCATCCTGACGTGAGCGATGTGCTGGGGCCGGCTGGGGGGACCCTCCTACCCCACAGGAGACCCTCCTACCTCACAGGAGACTCTCCTACCCCACAGGAGACCCTCCTATCCCACAGGAGACCCTCCTAACCCACAGGAGACCCTCCTAACCCACAGGAGACTTTCAATTGCTTGGCTAGAATGTGGGCTGAGGAGTAAGATAGTCTCAAGTTGGATCTCATGTCTACCACTGTCTAGCTCAGTTAAGGGCCCCTCAGTAGTCACTTAACTGTAAGCCACAGTTTCCTTCCACAAAACCACCTCTAATCAGACTTAACCGCAGGGTTATAAACGAGAGTAAGCGCACATCTGGCAGAGAAGATGCCCAATGCATATTGTTTCGTCTTCTCTTACTGGGTCTACCCGAAAGCAGGTGCTATAGCTGAGTGTCAAATTGGCGAGGAAGACACACACTTCTTCAGGATCAGACAAGGTTTTTAAGATTTATTTCTGCCTGTGTGCATGCCGGCATGTGTGTGTGCCATGGTGCCTCTGTGTGCGCAGGTCAGAGGACACTTTCAGGAGTGGGCTCTCTCATTCTGCTGTTGGTTCTGACACATTGTGTACTCCAGGCTAACAGGTGGCCTGTGAGCTTCCAGGCAGTTCTCTGGTCTCTGCCTGTCAGATTGCTGTAGGAGTATGGAGATTACAGATGTGTGCTGCTACCAGCTGTTTAAAAAGTAGGTTCTAGACATCAAACTCAAGTCAGTACGCTTACTGCAGCAGCAAGCACCTACCCACTGAGCCATTCTGCTGGCCTCGGCTCCACATACCTGTAAGTGTGCATTAAGCCATTGGGTCTCACTTATAAAGTCAGGCACTTAGTCACACAGGCCAAGTCCCTATCCAGTGCACAGGAAATGAAGACAGGAAAAGCTTTGGTATGCAGGGTCTTGGATCTGCACACGACGCACCAAGTTACACTTATTCTCTGACCTTGTGGAAAGGGGTTTTCAGTGGCATCTAATGTACACTATCCTGAGATTTTCTGCCTAAACGCTTTCTTCATTACAGATTTCATGTTTCAACGAATTCAAGCAGAAACCTTTGTGAAGAGGGAGTATTGATCTCCCATCCAAAGCCCATTTTTATTTTATTTTATTTTTTGGTATTTCAAGATAGGGTTTCTCTGTGTAGTTTTGGTGCCTGTCCTGGATCTCTGTCTATAGACCAGGCTGGCCTCGAACTCACAGAGATCCGCCTGGCTCTGCCTCCCGAGTGCTGGGATTAAAGGTGTGCACCACTACTGCCTGGCCAAAGCCCATTTTAATAGCAGGTAGCCTTGGCTTTCCCAAGGGCATCTGACAATTTGCGTTTTTCCTAAATCCGGACACACTCTGCCCAGCTCTCAAGTCTGCTCCCAGCAGGGCTCCCTGCGGCTACTACTCTAGTTCCCTTCCAGCAAATCTGGCGAAGGTCAAAGGATGTGGTGAGGAAACCTTCAGTTTTGACAAAGCAGCTCAAACCAGTATTGGATAAGAAAGTGGAAAATCGTAGAACAAAGCTCCAGCCACAGCACAAAACAGAACCCTAGGATGGGTCTCCTACCCGCCCACACAGCTCCACAGCCTGTTCCATTTCCTTCCAGGCCAGCAGCAGTTTTTCTGATGCTGGAAAAAAAAAATGAAAAAACATCATAAAACCAAAACAGAAGTTAAAAACTGAACTATGAGAGGACAGAGAAACTTCAGGACGAAAGGAGCAGAAGGGAGGAGGGGGTGTTTTCAGCTCCCTGCAGAGCACACTCACTGATCCCAAACTCAGTCTGCTCTCTGTACTTCTCCAGGTCGATCTGGATGCTGGTTTTAAAGAAATCCAACTTGGCCTTGAGCTGCTGCGCCATGGAGGCCATGGCGTTCTTCATCTTGGAAAGGCAGCTGTTGTTCCGAAGGAGGTTCATCCTGCAGGGATAGTAAGGAACAGAAACAGAACCTTGGGACACACTTGGCTCTAAGGATACTTCCTGTATAGTAACAAAACCCTCTACCAAGAGAGGCTCGGCTGTAATCACTAGCAGTCACCACTTACCAAAACAGCCTCTTAGAATCATAAGGACAACTTCCTAGCCCACACCAACACATAAAGGTCTATGCACCAACACATAAAGGTCTATGCACCAACACATAAAGGTCTATGCCAACGTTGGAACCAGGTATAATACTACACACAGCCCAGTACACTGGTCCTAATTGGAGACTCCATCAGCAAGTCCCCTGCACACCAATCAGGGCAGTATCCTTCACCCAAGGTTCACTAAGCTTCTCCAAGCTCCAGATTCCACAGAGACGAGCTGCCAGGCCCAAGTTCTGCATCCCTGCTCCATTTGCCAACCCCTGACCTTAGCAAGTCCAAGGGCCGCCCTCCAGCCAGGCCACCCAACCACTCCCTTCCATCCAAACCAGAGTCTCCTCCTGTCCCTCCCTGGAGTTGCTTCTGGATCCCTGCCTCAGCCACCTCTCCAGAGCCAAAGCCAACAAGCCATTTTAAACACACGAAGGAAAACCGGCACCGTACATGGCCGCTCGCTGTCCCTGCTGGAGTCGGTTACAGTCTTCCTTCAGCGTCTGGATGCTGTGCCAGACCTGGCCCCACACTTTCCTCAGCTGGAAGAAAGAGAGGTTCCGCTTGGGCTCCTGAACTGGAAACAAATAGTTGTCAGAGAGTACCTCAGCTCCAGGGAACCACATCCTGGCCCACAGCATCGCTCAGATTTTCAGGGTTATATAATCACTACACTGGGTATTATGGTTCACATTAGTTTAAACATTTCGGTGTTCCATTAATAGGATAGACAGCCAGCAAAAAGCTACCACCAATTTGATTTGAAGAAATCCCATGAGTCAAGCATGGTGACACACACTTGCAATCCCAGCACTTGGGTGGCCGAGGCAGGACGTTTGCTGGAGTCTGAAGCAGGCTTTGGTTACATAGTTAGTCCAAGGCCAGCCTGGGCTATGGACCATTTGGAGACATCATCACAAGTGTACACGCCCATTTATTTAACAGATGCTCTTATCGTCACCACATTTAGAACTGTGTGATATTTTCATGAAACATGAAAACACACTGTCAGGTGAGATGCCTCAGTGGGTAATGGCTCTTGCCACACAAGCCTAGTGACCTGAGTTCAGTCTTTGGGGCCCACATAAAGGGATCCCACAAAGTTGTCTTCTGATCTCTACATGTGTGCTGTGGAACACACGCCCTCCCCACAATAATAAAGAAATTAACTGAGCAAGTACTTTAAAAATGTAGCACTAGCCAGATGTACTAAAAATGTTTAAAAAATCGAGAAGCCTGGGAGAACTCTGAGAGATTGGATCTTTGATTTGTTTATTCTAAGTATGTATCTGTGAGGCAGGGGGCCCGAAAATGGGGGTAGGTCCATTATTAAAATGTCCCCCAAACAATCATGCAATGGAATACTGTACAGTGTTCAAAACAAAGCAGTTCTGTGTGTCCCAATATGAGGAAGAAGAAAAGAACATACCGATCGAAAAGGCAGCTGCAGAACAGTGCATATTTAGGTTATCATTTTTTGAGGGGGATGCCCAAGTGTTTGATAACAGCAGTTTTGCTGGAAGGCGAGCTTACTGGCTGGAGACTAGAGCTGAGGTGTTTTCTTTTCACTGTATAGCTTTTTATGGGAGGTAGCTTTTGAAGTTTTGAGTTTTATTTTTTGTATCATGTACATACATTTTTATTTTTATTTTTTTCGAGACAAGGTTTCTCTGTGTAGTTTTGGTGCCTGTCCTGAATCTCGCTCTGTAGCCCAGGCTAGCCTCAAACTCACAGAGATCTGCTTGGCTCTGCCTCCCGAGTGCTGGGATTAAAGGTGTGCACCACCGATGCCTGGCCTTAATTTTTTTAAAAAACAGTCTCATGTAGCCCAGGCTGGTCTTGAACTTGCTATAAAGTTAAACTCCTGGTCTTCTTGCCTTTACCCTCCAATACACATTTGTTATTAAAATATCAATGCAACTTCAAAAATGAATCACAGAAGTAGGTGGTGTTTCCTATCCTTTGGACGTGAGTGTCTGAACTGTTCTCTGTACATCCTAATTAAAGGTGGCTTTAGAACCCCAGGACCAGAAGAACACGCTTCCTTCATGTCTCCCCCTCCAACTTTACCCTAAATACCACAACTGACCGATTTTAATAAATGTCATGTCTCCCCCTCCAACTTTACCCTAAATACCACAACTGACCGATTTTAATAAACGATGCACTTACGGATACAGCTGACGCTTTCCGGTTGGGGTCGGGGAGTGATCTGAGTCTCATAGGTGATTTTACTGTTGTCAAAGAGAAAAACAAGGTCCATGTCCGACGTGAGGCCCTCATTCGGCTGCAGAGGGACAAGAACAGAATGAGACCTGTGGATTGCACTTCCTTCCTAGCTACACGTTGTCAGAGCACTGCCAACCGCTCACCTCAGCCTACGAAGCAGACGTGACAGCGTGCTTTCCTTCCTCATCTTTTTATCGGAGCCTGCCCCTAACTTACATCATGTTCTACATAGGCTGACTGATTCTCCTGTGTGGAAGTTCCCTGCACACATCGCACTTCCCTGTGAAGCCTGGTTCTCATATGTTAATGTGACCTCCACCAGTCAATCCATTAGCACTTCGGGGCAGGCTCCGTGTCACACATGGACGGGGTGAGCACAGGTGCGCAGCACAGGTGCGCAGCACAGCTGTGTGGTCACAAATCGCTCTGGTTGACCAGAAGGACAGAGCACGATGTTGGTAATAGAGGCACAAGAAAGCATTAGAGGTCTAGAAGTGACAAACTGAATATGGAATGACGCGTCTTTCAGCAAGCCACACGGGATTTCTGACCCATCAAGCAAGCTGTAGAGTGTCATTAACTGCTTGTCATGCTGACAGTCTCCTAGGCGACCAAGTCAGAGGGAGACAGGGCAGGGTGCAAGAAGGCAGGGACTCACCTTGCTGTCTGAGATGCACTGAGTAGCAGGCTTGTCGGGGAGCAGCACCAGCCCCGCCTCCTGCAGCAGCTCCTGGTCTTCCTCCAGGATTCCCGTGTCTTCCCGTATTCTGGTTTTTAAACTCTGTAGACTCTCGTCCTCAGTCACAGGGTATGTGTGCACGGTGCCTGTGACCATGTTCAAGATATGAACCAGCTGCAACACAACCGGACGTTACTGGAAAAAAGTCCGCCTGACATTCATCTGCCTTCCGTGTTTGAACGGGGACTGGGGGCGGGGAGGACATGTGCATGCCACTGTGCATGTGTGGAGGTCAGAGGACAATCTGAAGGAGCACTAGGCAGGCTGTAGGGGTTATCAGGCTTGGCCGCAAGCATCTTTACCTGACGAGCCATCTCACTAACCCAGAAAGCAGATTTCTTTACACACAGGTCCATGTATTGGCCCAGATTCTCTGCTATCCCCAATACTTGCTGGTCAAGGGCTAGCTTGAGTCCCATTTTCCTCACCAGCGAGCTGGCAGCAATGTCCGTCAGCTCAGGCTTCCTGTCCTCTTATCTTAGCCCAAAGACTCATAGGAACCTGAAATTTCCTCACAAGCCAAGTGTCCCATGATCTGTTATGTCCCACTGGGGACCACAACTGGGCTGCCTCGGAGCTGCCTCGACTCCCCTCTCACCTTCAAGTTCAAGATGTCATCGAGGGCTTGGAAACAGCCATTGGGGCCGTACTGGGGGTCCGTGCCCCTTTGTCGAGGGTGCCACATAAGCATGAGCTGCAGCCACTTCTCCAGACGTTCAGTTAGGACACTGAGGGGAGCAGAGGTAGAGAGGCCTGAGCCAGGCCGCCTGGAGGTGCAGATTCCAAAGCACAGCCTTGGCGGACAGCTCAGATGGAGTGAGGGGTTTGCTTTGCAAACACAAGGACCTAAGTTCGAGCCCAGATCCCATATTAAAAAAAAAAAATGCTATTATCATACAAGTGGATCCTTGGAGGGTCAGCCAGCTTAGCCTATTTGTTGAATTTCAGACCAGTGAGCAGCTCTGTCTCAAGAAAAGAAAAAAAAGAAGGTGGACAGGCCCTGAGGGCTGAAACCCAAGGCTGTCTTCTGGTCTGCAGACACGCAAGTGCATACACACAAACACACAAAAACATACACACACACACACACACACACACACACACATGAACACATACACGGACATGAAACACATACACTCGTTTTTAAACAAAGCACAGCCAAGAGTGTGTCTCAACATCACACACACGGTGGCAACCAAATGATTATCAAAAATGAAGCCAAGTGACCTGACAGAAAACACATAAACATTTCCAAACAACGTAACAATTTAGGAGCTTCTCTCCGTCTGACAGGGTCACCCCCTAAGCCTTGAGGTGACCTCGAAGCTTTGATAACGCACTCTAGAGCTGGGTGTAGCTCAGTGGTAGCGTGCTTGCCTGACTCTGTGGTTTCATGAACAGCACTGTCTCTGTGTCTATACATATGTGTAAACATAACCCACAGAGAAAACATGAAAAAACAAATTTAGCCAAGTTTTAACTCTGTGTAAAAATAGATGAAGCACACAAATTTTGTTAATCTTATAAAAATTTAATATCTGTATATATTTAATATTTTTCTTCAATAAAATTTAGTATTTGTCTTTCATAAACGGTATAATTATATACACCAAAGAATTAAAAAATGAATAAATCTCTTTATGATTTATCAGTAGATGTTTTATTTGTATACTTTAATCTTTATATATACTATACATGCTTTTATATGTTTATATACTTTATATACTCTGTATTTACATACCTGGAGTAATGTGAACATTTCTTGGGCACAAAGGGATCCCAAATTAAAGGTTGTGTTTTTGTTTTTGTGACAGGGCCTCACTATGTAGTCCTGGATGCTGGTTGTCCTGGAACTCACTATGTAGACCAGCTGGCCTCAAACTCAGAGATCCATCTGCCTCTGCCTCCCCAGTGTGGACAGTGCCATCCCTAGGCAGGTCAGCCTGGGCTACATAACAAAGCAGGCTGAGCTGGGTGGTGGCAGTGGCGCACATCTTTAATCCCAGCACTCAGGAGGCAGAGGCGGGCAGGTTTCTGAGTTCAAGGCCAGTCTGGTCTACAGAACAAGTTCTGGACAGCCAGGACTACACAGAAAAACTCTGTCTGGTGGGGGCGGGGGAGGGAGAGAAAAAAAGAAAAAGAAAGGAAGCAATTAGGCTGAGCAAGCCAGAGGGAACAAGGGAACGAGCAGCATCCTCCATGGTTCTGCTTCCATTTTTACTCCAGATTCCTGCTTTGAGTTCTTGTCTTAGCCTCCCTCAAAACCAGTAAGGGATACAAATAAATTGTTATGTGAATTTAGCAGAGAGACGGTTTGGGAGCTGGTAATATAATTCACGAGTAGAGTGCCTGCTTAGCATGAACAAAGAGAGTGATTTCATCTCCACCATAGCAAAAACCAACCAACCAATTCATAAAAAAAGATTTCCAGGGAGAACACATCCTATGTCTAATGTTGAGACAGACTGGTCAAGTTCTCAAGCACAGGATGGCATTCTGCTAACCATTCAAAAGTTATCAGAGGGTCTAGAGATGGCTCAGTGGTTAAGAGCACTGGCTGTTCTTGCAGAGGACCTAGGTTTGGTTCTCAGCACCCACATGGCAGCTCACAACCGTCTGCAACTCCAGTCTCAGGGGATCTGATCTCTCTTCTAGCCTCCCCAGGTACCAGTCACTCAAACGTATAAAACAAACAAACAAATGTATCCGATGTCACCTCACCCCTGAATTTCTAAAGAAGACAAATGTATACAAGAGAAATGCCGGGTGGCCTTACCTGTTAAGATTGTTGGGGAAGGGTAAAGAGCTGGAGAACTTGACTGTCCCGTTCAGATCTTCACTGACAACAATGTCCACTTCGCTCTTCTGCCGGACTTTGGAGTGCCTGCAAATGCCATTTTGAGATGTCCCTTATGTCACTCAGGCAAATACCCGGTTTACACCTGTAACTTCACCACTGTGTAAGCTTTGAACTCATGGTCGGTAGGCTGACAGGTTTATGAATGGTCTGTACTGTGCTCAGGGGTTAGCTCAGTGGCATTGAGTCCTCAGCAAGAGTGTGGCTCTGGTTCAGTCCACAGCATTTAAACAAACAAAATGTGGCCAGTGTGGCCGAAAGAGGGGCTGAAAGACAACCCCCAGCAAGGTCGCTCATGACCTCATGACCTCAGGAAGCACTGCTGACCCCTGTCTCATCCTTGATTAGTTCTCCAGTTTCCTCTTCTCTTCATTTATCAAATATAAACTCTCATTTTTAAAAAAGATTTAATTTTCAATTACACATATATGTGTGTGTGGATATGTGACGCCTGTGAGCTGCCTGATGTGGATGCTGGGGATCAAACCCAGGAGCTTTGGAAGAGCAGATAGTGCTCTTTTTTTTTTTTTTTCCGAGACAGTGTAGCTTTGCGCTTTTTCCTGGAACTCACTTGGTAGCCCAGGCTGGCCTCAAACTCACAGAGATCCGCCTGGCTCTGCCTCCCGAGTGCTGGGATTAAAGGCGTGCGCCACCACCGCCCGGCTACAGCAGCTAGTGCTCTTAACCACTGAGCCACCTCTGAAGCCCAGCTCTCATGTTTTGATAGAGGATAAAATTGGGGTTCTGAACCATGGTCACTGTGTGCACATCCTATTTATTTGAAATGTAAAATATGCACACAAGTACTTTGCTTCATTTTAAAATTACATTTATTTTATTTGTTCATGTGTGTGCTCGAGTGTGTGCATGCATGCATGCTCATGTACATGCATGCACATACTTGCCATGGCATGCATGGGGCATCAGAGGACAACTTAGGGGAACTGGTTCTCTCTTTCCACCACTAGGGCCCCAGAGACAGAACTCAGGTTGTCAAGCTTGGTGACGTATGCCTTTGCCACTTAGCTACCCAGTAAAGCAAGGGATGCCCATACTTTATAATTATGCGGCTAAGCATTTTTTTCTAGAATAAATGAGCTTTCATATTTCCCAACGTAGGGAACTTTCAAAGGTATTTGAGGTAGTGCTGGGAAGGGAAAAATTAAATCCAAGTGGCTTCCAACCTTCTTGGTAACAAGGCCAACTTAAATTTGAATAATGCTTTATAAACAACCAAGTACTTTGCCAGGTTCCATTGGTTTCAGCGGTAACCCCATGTGGCAACATTATTTTTAGTCTGCCACTTAGTGGTAAGGAAATGAGTAGGTGTTGTTCAATATTAGACAACCAGAGAGGGACAGAACAAAGGACTCAAATTCTGGTATAATTTCTAGTGTATAAAAGTCCAAATACATCTCTCCCCTAAATAGGGTGATTCAAATTGAAAAGAAAATGCCTCAGCCTTAAACAGTTATCATTGGCAACCAGTAAGCTGGCCTATTTAGGGCAGAGAGGAAGTATGAAAAGATGGTAGATGCTTGGCAAAGGCCACTGGCATCATACAGCTTTAGTAGAAATAGACGGGTGGAATCAGGGTCTCCGGGGCTTCTAATGAAAACGGGATGTGCTCCTAAGAAAACAGTCTTTTGCCGGGTGGTGGTGGCACACGCCTTTAATCCCAGCACTCGGGAGGCATAGCCAGGCGGATCTCTGTGAGTTCGAGGCCAGCCTGGGCTACCAAGTGAGTTCCAGAAAAGCCGAAAAGCTACACAGAGAAACCCTGTCTCGGAAAAAAAAAAAAAAAAAAAAAAAAAAAAGAAAGAAAACAGTCTTTCCTAGGAAACCAGAAGCAGCTGGGTCAAGCAAAGCACAGACTGCTGCGCATCTTGTTATTTGAGAGCAAGTGACGCTAACAGCAGAGGCAACGAGGTCCTCTGGAAAACCAGCCCACAGAAACTGGGTTTCAGTGAAGGCGACTTCGAAGCAGCCAACAGCAAGGGTGGCTCTAGGGAAAAGATTCTGCAGACAACAGACACACTGCGAAGATGCCGAGCCACTAAGGGCGTTCTCAAACAGTACTTTTCTTTCAGTTCTATTGGATCTCACTTATCTTGTTATAAGCAGAGAAAAGGTCAACATTTGTGATGCTTTCCTCCACTCTAGGTATGGAACCCACCAACTTTGAAAAGTTAACCTTTGAATTGAAAATAAAAAGCCAATCCCTTGGTCAACTAAAACCAACAGAGTACAGATAAGTTGAAGCTATTTTACTACTTTATGGTTACATTATAATGTATACCTATGAACTAAGTACCTAATTCTCCCATATCCCAGGACCCATGGGCTGAAAGACCAAAGCCTGGTTTGTAAGTAGTTATCATAGGACAGTGGCTTTCCAGAGTGTTCTCTGCCTCTGCAATGCCAGCATGTGGCTCCAATTGTGGAACTGATGTCTGCTGCCACCACCCAAAGCTTTCTTCTAGAACTGATTCCAAAGGCCATGGTTCCTTTTTTATCAGAAACTGTTTCCATGGAGATGTGACTCAGTTGGTCAAATGTTTGCCTCAGCATGCAAGAAAGTCTTGGGTTCCATCCTCAGCACTGGACAAAATGGTGTGGGAGCACATGCCTGTAATTCCAGCGTTTGGGAGCTGGAGGCAGGATGACCAGAGGTTAAGGTCACTTCTGCTATATAGTTTTTCTCGGTGTAAATACTTGTACTTTGAAAAGTTAGTATTTTTTACTAAGCTTACAATGTACTTAGGAAAATGAAGGACCGTGTGACAAGACGTGGAGTCAGGGACTCGCTCTCCCCTCAAGATTGCCCTCCCCCAAGTACCAGGTCAACTCACCACTGCACAGGCTGCCAGTTAGGCAGAAAGGGCCGGAAGCCAGTAATGCACTCAAAGGCCAGGGTGCCGAAGCTCCAGTAGTCCACAGTCACGGTGTACTTCTGCTGCTCCAGCAGTTCTGGAGCCTGAAACACACAGGGGGGCTGCCTACGCTGCCCTCTTTCTGGCTGTAAGAGCTACCAGCTCAGAGAACCAGCTCCCTGCCTTCACCACCAGGGCAGAGTATGTCCACTCAAGAGTGAGATGAACCTGAACAGATTCAGCTGTGGGTACGTAAGGGTTTTTGTACTTCATATCCCTTTGTTTGTTTTGGTTTTTCAAGACAGGGTTTCTCTGTGTAGCCCTGGCTGTCCTGGAAGTTGCTCTGTAGACCAGGCTGACCTCGAACTCAGAGAGTGCTACCACCGCCCAACTCTGGACTTCAAATCTTAATGAGACTGTGTTGATGAGAAGTGTTGACAGGAGAGCTGAGGAGTCAGGATCCTGAGGAATCACTTCAAGGTAGACCAGAGTAATCTATTGTGCATTTCACAGTCATTTAATCTTGGCGCACGCCTTTAATCCCAGCACACAGGAGGCAGAGCCAGGCGGATCTCTGTGAGTTCGAGGCCAGCCTGGGCTACCAAGTGAGTTCCAGGAAAGGCGCAAAGCTACACAGAGAAACCCTGTCTCGAAAAACCAAAAATAAATAAATAAATAAATAAAGTAAAATAAAATAAAAATAAAAAAAATAAAAATGAGGGTTGTAGTATTTATTGAAGATTACATGCAGGACCCAGACCATAGGAGACAGAGAGCCAAGCTATGCCCAACAAACAAAAAGACATCAGCTTGCACACACCTAATGCATAGTGCATATATATTAAACCAGGTAGCCCTGAATCAAGTAATATAAAGCCATATAACGAAATGGGAGATTTACAATCAAGCAGGAGAAAGCAAAGATGCATGACTGCTGTCCAGGTTAAGAGAGCTAGAGTGACCCAGGAGGGTGAGGAAGCCGAGGCAGGACATGAACTGGGCTCACAAGGCTTGAAGGAAACACACAGCAGAACCATCCCAGAAAGGAATACCACCAAGCAAAGGCTCAAAGACAGGACCAGTCATGATCTATGTGGACATGCAAGAGTCATAGATGGGTCAGGGAGTCAAACCCAGGAGGAACTGGGCTAAAATTTCATGATTAGCTTAGTCTCCAGGTGTGGCTATGGGTGGACCTTTAATTCATGCAGGTGAAAAACTGTTAGCGTCTTGAGTGGGAGCCCTGAGTGAATGAAGACCCAAGTGAATGTGTACTGTTGATTGACGTGGCCGCCACCATGTCAAAGGGCATCGCCTCCAACTCACGGGAAAACGGCAAAGCTTTCCCCACTAGGGTGAGGCTCAGAGAGATGGCAAAGATTTTCTAGAGGGTCCAGGTATAAATGTTGTCAAATGTGTGTGCCAAAATTGTCCACCGTAGCTTTTCCCATCCCCCAAATATGATGGCTTGAAGATTGCTCCAACCCACACCGACCTCCCTGACACACCTCTGTGTTCAACTGTAACCTCGCCTCTCTGTTAATACAGTGAGCTTCTGAGGTGCTGTTGTTTCTCCATCAGAGAGCTCAGTCCACCCAATCCCAGCATTCCTGCTGTCAGTCATTGCTTCATTCCCTCGCTATCTCTCGTCAGGTCAAGTTCCTGGAGCCATACGAGGATTTGCCAATCGTGGTCAGAGCATGGGTTCACCTCACTTCACTGCTGCTGAGCTAGTGAGGACTCCAGAGGGTACTTAGCAGGATGTACATAATTACAGTATCACACGGATGCACCACCTGAATCACATCCCACAGTCCCGCTGGGAAAGCCACATTCCACTCAGCAGAAGAGAAACAGAGGGATCCCATTACTCTAATTGGTAGTCTACATAGGAAACATTAATGAGTTCAGAAAAACAAGGCATAATTTCTTTCTTAAGAAATGGGATGCTTAAGCTTTTTTTTTTTTTGTTTGTTTTTTTTTTTGTTTTTTTTTTCGAGACAGGGTTTCTCTGTGTAGCTTTGCGCCTTTCCTGGAACTCACTTGGTAGCCCAGGCTGGCCTCGAACTCACAGAGATCCGCCGGCCTCTGCCTCCCGAGTGCTGGGATTAAAGGCGTGCGCCACCACCGCCCGGCTCTGCTTAAGCTTTTTTAAGCCCTGAGACCTTCAACCTTTTTGTTCATTGAACTCAGATTCCATTATTCAACCACAATCTGATGGCCATGATCACCAATAAGTCATCTATTACTAAGTCTTCCTTAGTGTCTGTTACCTACCCCCACCCCCGCTTTATTGAAGACAGGCTCTCACTATGTAGGCCAGGCTGGCCCCAAACTCATGCTTTCTTGTCTCCACTATCCAAGCACTTAGATTATAGGCAAGTGCTGAGGTTACAGCTATGCAAAACTGTGTCCCAGCCGAGTAAGCATTTCTTGAATTTAATCATTCTGTACCTCCTACTCTCCTTGTACAGCTGGGAACGTGTCTATTCCAACAGCTGTCTTACAACCTGCCACTCGTTTGGTGCAATTCACTCTTCACATCATTCCACGCCAGTTTCTACAGTGTGAAGTCCCCCAATGCTGTTCCAGAGGTTTTACGGTATGGTTTAAAACCCTTCAAGCCAGTAGAAAGGGATAAGAACTTGTCCCTTCTTTCTCCCCAGTTTCAACTGCAGACCCTCTCCTCATCCTCTAAGCCTGAGCCACACTAGTGTGTCTTCTAATTCGCTCTGCTTTTGCCAGTGTCTCCTCCTCCCATCCTTCCACGGCCTTCGACACTGTGCTTCTATCAGTGGCACTCACGACAATGGTGGTTTCTGAGTTATCTGTATATCACGGTGAGTAATGCCTGCTTTCTTCTCGGATGTTAAGCTCTCAATGAGCAGTGAAATGCTTATCTCTCTTCTCATTGTACTGCCAACTCTGTGCACAATGTCTGGCACACAATGTTCCAGAAGAATGAGTTGATCAAATCATACTCCAGCATTCAGACCACACAACACACAGAGGAGAAGTCACAGCCCCACCTCTTCCTCACTGGCTCCTGTGACCCTTCAAGAAACACAGCCTCTACAGATAATCGGAACTCCGTGGCACAGAGAGGTTCCGGGATTTGGGTAAAGGCACACAGGCCAGCCCTTCTCACAGCAGAGCAGAGACAAAATCTTTCCAGAGGGCACAAAAACACTCACGTGAATAAATTATCAATTGTGAACTCACACAATAATTCTGAACATCCACGGAGCCAGCAGGCCTGAGATGCAGGCAGGCAGGACAAACAGACCCACAGGTAGGAGTATCAGAGAGACTGAGAAGCAAACACTTGGGCCCATTGCTTACCAGGTATTGCAGGGTCCCCACAAAGGAAGTGCACAGACTGCCCTGATCCAGTTCCTTGGCATATCCTAGATCAATAATCTTGTGTATTAACTGGAAAAAAAAGGGGTGGGGTGGGGTGGGGAGAAGAAATCTGAAGGCTGTAAGAAGGCAGTCTCTTTCCACAGCATGAGTTGGTTAACCATTAGAACAAAGTCATTCTGAATTCCCAAAGAGTGTTGGTTCCTAAATACCTTAAGGTCACCATATTCACAGGAGAATGCCCTCAGCAGGGTACATTTGGGGCACTATAAAAATGTTGGGCAGATGTTTTCCTTGGTTTGCCATCAATCAGTTAAGAGCCTACATATCAGACCTCAGGGTCACCGAGCCTGGATCTGTAATGTGAGAGGCCAGGCCAGGCCCTGCTCACGAAATATCCGGAATTACTGGAAGAATGAGTGTTCGATGAGCCTGCCACAGTCATGGGCTGGGCTAGGAATTGTGAGGGAAGCTGTATTGGGAGGGATGGGTGACCCCTAGTTGAACAAAGTTGGGAAAGACTACGGTATCTAAGCTCGTGGGGAGGTTACCATTGAGAAGGGCCACGAACAGCTCGTGTGTAATGGCAGAGCTGGAGCAGGCCCACAATGGGCTGATGCCAGCTCTGCCTGCCTCTTCTCAGCCACATCCACAACCAACTTCAGCTCATTTTAACAAAGAAACGAAAAAGAAAAAGTCTATCTCCAAGAGGTGTTGGGTTGAGGGTAGAATAATAAACATTTTCCTTATCGGATTCCTGCAACTTGGGCGATTAACAATGTCATACATTCAGAGCTGGAGAAAATAAATAAATAAATAAAAAGAACGTGATACAGCCGAGCTTGCCTCAATCTGCCAGCGAGAACAGTTTGCACTGCTGTTTCGAAAACAGAAAGACATCAAAAAACAAAAAATTCTCGAGAGAACGGGAGTGCGGCTCGAGGAAACAGAAATGAGCAGCTTACGATGCCCTCCCCCGCCAGAGCCGTCCCGAGCAGCCCTGGGGACTTCCTAAGTCCCAGGAAGGCCACTCACTCGTTGCTCTCCTTGCTGCAGAACGATATTTTCTGGCTTCAGATCTCGATGGATGATTCTGTTGTCGTGAAGGTATCGAAGAGCCGAGGCTGAGGGAGTGCAATGGGAATGATATTTTTTATTATGTCTAGCACATGCTTTTTCCCTTAGAACTGATCAGCCTGTAAAGGACGATATAGTGTTGTCTTGACACGTTTCCTGGCTTCTGGTGTATCAACTCTCAGTGGACAGAAGCAGCCTGCAGCGGACACTGCTCAGGCCAGGTGAAGGGGATCAGGCCAAGAGAGCCGAATTTAACTGTGAGGTTTTGGGTCCTGGTAACTGAACTCAGGTCCTCCTGCTTGCACAGTGTGCTCGCTAGTTTTACATCAACGTGAAACAAGCTGGAACTGTGTAAGAGGGGACTTCAATTGACAAAAACGCCCCCAGCAGATCGGCCTGTGGGCAGGCTTCTAAGGTACTGATGACTGATTTGGAAGGGCCCAGCTCACTGTGGGTGGTGCCATCCCTGGGCTGGTGGTCCTGAGTGCTTTCAGGAAGCAGGCTGAGCAAGCCATGAGAAGCAAGCCAGTAAGCAGCATGTCCTCTCTCTGTTTCAGTTCCTGCCTCCAGGTTCCTGTCTTGACTCCCTGGATGATAGACCATGACGTGGAAGTGTAAGATGAAGTAAACTTTCCTCCCCATTGCTTTCAGTCACAGTGTTTTACTGAAGCGATAGAAACCTACCTGGGACACATGGCCAGCACCTCACCAACTGAACCATCTCTCCAGTTACTATGACAGGCAGCTTCATTATAACAATTTAGGTGTACAGCTTTTGTTTTAAAAGGATGCTGATGATGTTCTGCCAAGGGGATAGGATCAGACCCCACAACTTTTTTTTTAAGTAATAGTTGGCATATGCCTATAATCTTAGCACGAAGATTACCATGTGGTAGAGGTCACCCTAATCTAAATATCAAGTCCAAAGCCAACTTGGTTTACATAGAGACCCCGTCTAAAAAGGGGCAGGGGATAAAATCAATAACAATGAGAGGTTTAATATCAAGCCTCTTGATATAATTCTGTGACACATCACAAATGTACAAGCATGTCCACATACTAATCTATACCTATACATAAGCATACGACACACAGAAACCACCCCTATCAGGATGGACTGAGTCATTTGGAATCTCCGGCAAACTGAAGAGGTGGTCATCCCTGCCGGCGGGGGGGGGGGGGGGGGGGGGGGGGGGGGGGGGGGGGGGGATGATGGGTACCCTCCAGCAGACAGCAGAAGACAAGCCTTCCACAGAGATCAAGAGAGCAGGCTGACTCTGGGAAGACTTTCAGATGGTGTTTCCTAAAACCATATCTGGCAGTCAAATAGCAAAGAGAGTTCACACTCAGAATCACTAAACCACATTAGCCACACTACAAAACCACTGAGTGAAGAGAGTTCACACTCAGAACCACTAAGCCACATTAGCCACACTACAAAACCACTGAGTGAAGAGAGTTCACACTCGGCACATTAAGCCATACTGCACTGATTATATTTCCCCATTCAAACCTGGCCCTATCATTTCCTGCTTGCTTATTTTCTTTCATAATGGTCAACAGTAGACTGCTATGTCCAATCGCTATCCAAATTTGCAAAGCCAAAGATTTGCTGCTGACTACGGATCCAAAGAATTCCACTCAACTGTTGACTTATAAAATCTAATGCTTCTCAACAGTACTTTCATTTTTACTAATTTTTATTAGTAAAATTGGTCATGGTGTTTTGTTGTTTGTTTTTTCAAGACAGGGTCTCTCCATATAGCCTTGGCTATCCTGGAACTTGCTCTGTAGACCAGGCTGGCCTTGAACTCAGAGATCCACCTGTCTCTGCCTCTTGAGTGCTGGGATTAAAGGCATGTGCCAGCGTGCCCAGCTGGTCATGGTGGTTTTTTGTTTTAAATTATTTTTATTTTATGTGCATTAGTGATTTGCCTGCCTTTTTTTTTTTTTAAAGATTTATTTATTATGTATACAGTGTTCTGTCTGCATGTATCCCTGCAGGCCAGAAGAGGGCACCAGATCTCATTACAGATGGTTGTGAGCCACCATATGGTTGCTGGGAATTGAACTCAGGACCTTTAGGAAGAGCAAGCAGTGCTCTTAACCTCTGAGCCATCTCTCCAGCCCCTGATTTGCCTGCCTTTATATGTCTGTGTGAGGGTGTCAGGTCTCTTGGAACTGGAGTTACAGACAGTTATGAGCGGCCATGTGGGGGTGCTGAGAACTGAACCCAGGTCCTCTGAAAGAATAGTCAGTGCTCTTAATGGCTAAGCCATCTCTCCAGCCCCTGGTCACGGTGTTTTATTGAAGCAATAGAAACCTACCTAGAACACACAGTCAGCACTTCAACTGAGCCATCTCTCCAGTTACTATAACAGGCAACTTTACAACAATTTAGGTCTAAAGATTTTAACTTAAAAGGATGTATGGTATCAGACCCCACAACCTTTTTTTTTTAAGGTAAAGCTTGGGCATGGTGGCGTATGCCTACAATCTTAGCGTGATGATATAAAAAGTCAAATCATTACACTCATACAGCCAGCAGAGAGGAGTGGTACTACTACTGAACCTGAACCATGGGCAGAGAGGAGCCAGGCCAGGACATAACCTGAAACGCTGTCCAAAGGGCTGCCGTTTTAGTTGTGGTCAGCTGCTGCACAGTGAGTGTAACAGCATGTGCTGTGTGCAAGTTGAGTCCCACTGGATTTGAGCAAGTACATACACAAACTAAAACAAGGGCCCGGCAGTTGGAAGTGCAGCATCTTAGGCCAGTAACGTGTGTGTGAGCTGGCATGAGTCCCAAGAACCCTGTCAATAACGTGTGTGTGAGCTGGCATGAGTCCCAAGAACCCCGTCAGTAACGTGTGTGTGAGCTGGCATGAGTCCCAAGAACCCCGTCAATAATGTGTGTGTGAGCTGGCATGAGTCCCAAGAACCCCATCCATAACGTGTATGTGAGCTGGCATGAGTCCCAAGAACCCCATCCATAACGTGTGTGTGAGCTGGCATGAGTTCCAAGAACCCCGTCAGTAACGTGTGTGTGAGCTGGCATGAGTCCCAAGAACCCCGTCCAGGAGGAGGAGCGCAGGGACGGTAGAGAACACACCACCTTAGGCTGCCCTGACCAAGGCTGTCACCAGGCCTGTGGAGAGGAGGACCGACCGGCAGGCTGTAATCAAACCTCTTCCTATGTATGAAAAACTACTGACCGGCACTTAAGCAATACTGCTCACAAACTCAGAGCCTCATTTTAGTGTGGTTATGTATTCTCAAGTGTTTTCCCTGACTTAATGATGTCTAGAACTAAGAAATCAGACGGGTAGACTCATAGGTGCTTTTGTGGACTAAGTGAACCCTAGGTGGCTAAACGTTCTGACGGGCAAGGGCTTCGTTTGAAAAACAAGTCCTCGATGGGCTGTAGGCAGTCTGAAAAATAGCCCTTAAGGAACAGTGTCAGGAAGCCGATTAAGATCATCTCACTCCGAGAACCTAAACTGGTTTAAACTGGATGAAACATTCAATGTTGAAACTCAAACATAATGCTGTGTTTAAACCCTTGGGTGGAGCGATCGAAAATACCCCTAAAAACTGAAAACCTCAATACACAAAAACATAACTAACCCCTCGTGTTCCAATTAGAGAAACAAGCTGTAATAAACACTCATTTTTAGACTACACTGTAGGGCTTAGCATGCATAAGTTCCTGGGTTTCATCCCCAGCACTGAAACCAACAGTTCTCTGGACTACACCTTGGCCTGTTATCATATGGATTCTGCAGAGAGATCCAGGTGCAGTATCCATAGCAGACAAAGAGCATCATTGTGATCCTTGTCAGGGTGGTACCCACATCTACACCCAGGATCTCCCTGGGCTTAGAGGAAGAATATGACCTGAATTCCAAACCACATTGTTTGGATGATAAACTACAAGTTAGGGGACAGATAAGATCAGCCAGGCTTCCAGGCAGGTTAAAGTGTTTTGGAAGGGGTGTGCCCGTGAAATCCGATTTTCCTACAAATCTTAAGAGCGTGGTAAGCTCTTTTCAGGATGCTTGTGTGAGGTATGTTCCACTGGGAAGAAATGGGAAGGCAAATGGACCAGCAGATTCTGGGGTGGAGTGAGGGGATGGGTAGAAATCAGAAGAAAAAGAAAAGTCAAAAAGCAACAGATGGGAGTCAGGGGTGTATCTTAGTGGTAGACTGTTGTGTGTGTGTGGGGGGGTGTATCTTAATGGTAGACTGTTGTGTGGGGGGGGGCAGAAGGAAGAGAAGAGAGGGAGGGGTGGAGGGAGGTCAACCAGTGGGTGGTCCTAGTTGCCACTGGGTAATAAAGAGGATGTCTGTGTTCTTCATTAAAATGCTGAGCCTACCGTGAGCTGCCCAGTTTGTTGTGGGACCTGCCAGGCAAAACAGACTTAGTCTGGCTCAAACAGCAGGGCAGAAAAATGGCAAGACCAAATGTTAAGATCAAAGCGTAGAGTCATTCATTTGCTCAGTGACCAAGAAGAGCAGCAGAATTCTGTGAAGGAAATCCAGAGTGACGAGCGAAGCCTAAGGCTAAGAGATGGGAAGGCTGAGGGTCCCTGGTGAGGTACAGGACTAGCACCCCAAGGGGAATTAAGTGCTCAGCAAGCCAGGGACGGAGAGGCAGGCTACAGGAGTCCTGTGCACAGCAGGCCAGCTACTGACTTTGGAAAGAAGGTGGGTGGAGAGGTCTGGAGCAGACAATGGTAAAAGTCTCCTTTCAGCCAGGCATGGTAATGTGCATCTGTACCTCCAGGACTCAGGAGCTGAGAAGTGAGAGAAGGGCTCTGAGTGTGAGGCCAGACTAGGCTACACAGTGAGTTCAGGGCAAGCCTGAGATACATATGAGGTTTGTCACGAAAATGTAAGAGCAAGCACCGTTCTGAAAAACGGATTAGCAAAAGCCAATAAGGAGGCGAGTATGAAGTCATGACAACGACTTCCTACAATAATGTATTAGTGAAGGCAGTGGGGACAGACAGGGAGAACAGGATATAATACGACAGACATACTGGATTTGGTGACCTTGTATTCTTATCCTTTTGTTTGCCTGCTTTGAGGCATGGCCTCTGGTTTCTAGCCCAGGCTGGCAACAAACTATGTAGTTAAAGATGATTTTAAATTCCAGATCCTGCTGCCCCCACTCCCCACCCTCACCCCCAGAACTGGGACATGTGCCACTACGTCTAGTTTATGAGTCACTGGGCATCATGCATGCTAGGCAAGCGTTGTATCGACTGAGCTACATCCCCAGCTCAGTTTGGAGAGTGTTTTTATGTCCTTTAGTGTCCTTTCAGCCAGGCATAGGAAGAGAGGTATGAAGTAGCAACAGGGGACGATTTTCAAAGGTGAGATTTGAAGATCTATTTTGTGTGTATGAGTCTGTGTCTGCATGCATGTGTACTGTGTGCACGTCTGGTGCCCATGGAGGCCAGAAGAGGTTTTTAGATCCCTTGGATTGTGAGCCACCATATGGGGTCTAGGAACCAATTCTGGATCCCTCATAAAAGTAGCAAGCCCTCTTAACTGCTGACCCAAAAGATGAGATTGAAACTTGACACTCATGTCTGGTTAGGCGGAAAGACAGGTCCGGTGAAAAAGAAGATATCACAAAGGGATCAAGTAAAAAGAAGTCTAGGGTTCAATTTGGAAGTGACTTTGGGAGAGAGATTCTGCAGACAAGGATATCAGAGCACAGACTCGGGGGGAAGATATGGTTGATAGAGATGCCACAAGATGCCAGGCAGGCAAAACCAGCGATACAGTAGAGCAGAGCCGGTCCAGGAAAAGGAAGGTGAATGGGCCGGGGCAAGAATGAAGAAAAGCAAGAAGGCAGCGTGGGAGCTGAGGTGAGGTCTGGGCATGCGCAATACGCCTGCAGTTCTAATATTCAGAAATGCAGGGAAGGGGTCCATGAGTTCAGCGACAGCCTGGGGTCACTGACCAAGACTCTGTGGTGGGACAGAGAGGGCTGCCACCTGCCTCTCAGTCCTGACTGCTTGGGAATCTGCTGCTTCACTGGCAGGAAGAAAAAACACTCTGATGTTTTCTAAAGGACAATGACCATTCAATGTAACTGTGACTCAGTGGGCTATTCCAGGGTCATGTTATGGGGAAGTCCAAACTGTTACCACTGCCTCCATGTCTATCCCAGGATCTCTTGCCAGTATAAGGCAATGACCGGACAGGCTTGCTCTAGGAAGCAGGGTTCATCTGTGTCTGCCAGGCATCTCCTTGTTTTCTCATGTATACTCTACTTACAAGTTGCTGGAGTTGTACCTTGCAACTTAAAATTCACCCGAAGAATCCTGTCTGTGTGTCTGTTACCTTGATGATGTTCTGTGTGGGTGTCCTAAGAAATTAGGGCCCAGATATTAGGAGTAAATACATTTAACCCAAACGAGAAGGCAATGAATCTGGACCCTGTGACCAGGAGTGTGGCTTGGCTAATCAACTGGAATCAACCAGGCAGGGAACAGCAGTGGTGACTCCAGCAAAGAGAATGTGGGGTTGCACTTGGAACGACATACGCTCAGGAGCGGTTTCCGAATACAAAATGGTTGTTAGCTGAGCCACTTGAAGTAAAGCTTCTAAACTGACTTAGAAGTGAGACTAAATCTGATGGTCCCATATACAAATCAGAAATGGCAGGGGTATGCAAGTAAAATGTAAACCTGTCAGCAACTTCAACCAGAGTCAAAGGATAGGAATGCATCCCAGCAATGCATGCGTCTGGGGAAGACCAGGCATTTCCAGGAAGGGCATCTCATGAGACTCCCACCTATTGGGTTTGCTAGCTCCAACCTCATTAATAATCCACAGTAGGGACCGAGGGTTTTCAGGATCCAGCAGGGAGGGGAGGGGGCGGGGACCACAGTGACTTACTGCGTATCGTTCTAGGAAGAGCACTATGCCAAGAGCTTATGTACGGCATCTCATTTTACGTTCAACGATTCTAAGGAGGTGAGCAACGCTCTCATTTACAGCTAATGAAACAGCATTCTGAAAAATGAAGTAACATGCTTCAGGTCCACTAAGAAGTGGAAGAGCTGGTTCATAAGCTGGGTATTAATACAGGGATGTCCAGATATTTTTTTAAATGAGAACTTATGTATTTTAATTCCTTTCGGGACATTTGATCTTATAAATATTTACAGACAAGGCGGTATATACCAGCTACTACTTTTCTCGATGCTAAAGACAGAGCAGTGACCAATGGTTCTGATTTTAAGAAGTCTGGCTGAAGAAGTGGGTAGAGCTCAATGGTACAGTGCTTGCCCAGCATGAGCGAGGCCAAGGTTCCACCCGCACCAAGGAGGCCCTTGAAAAGATAATACTGAAGTCACCACTCCCAAGGAAGTAAAATGTCATATGAAGCAGTAATCCAGTTAGTGTACACAAACCAATTATTTAAACAGCTTTCTGTTTTTGTTCCTTTGAGACAGGGTTTCCACTGTAGCCCAGGCTATCCTCAAATTCACAGGGATATTCTTGCCTCTATCTTCCAAAAACTGAGACTACAGGTATGAGCCACCTGTCCCCATTTAGAGACTTTTCACAGCTGTATGAGAGCTGCATAAATAATCTAATGAGTAGAAGAAAAAATACTTAAGAGAATAACATCAAAGGAAAGCGACCTGAAGCTGTAACCAAAAGGAAGCCACTGCTGCCATGGAGAACAAAAGAAAATCCCTCCCTATCCCCCACCCACCTACTAGTCTGCCTTCAACCCAAGCCAACAGGAGCAAATCAGGAATTTGGCTGATGGACTTAAGAGATAAAGTCAGGTAAACATCTAAGCAAAACACAGGTGGGTGAGACATGGTGTCACGAAAACAAACGGAGTTCTAGACCTCTGGATTAGATCCCGCAGGTGTACAGACAGGGCCCTTCCTGCAGACACACGTGCACCAACACACGGGAAAAACCAGAGGCCAAGAGGTGGCTGCCCCCCGACCCAGCAGGTCAGACTGCAGTGATGTCACCTAGTCCTCCTTAGGACTCCATCCTAAAGGAAACAGTGGGATACACAGGAAGGTGGATACTCTCCATCACACTGCTTGGATCTCAGCCTTAAAAACATGGCGGGCTGGAGAGATGGCTCAGAGGTTAAGAGCACTGGTTGTTCTTCTAGAGGTCCTGAGTTCAATTCCCAGCAACCACATGGTGGCTCACAACTATCTGTAATGAGATCTGGCGCCCTCTTCTGGTATGCAGGCACACATGCAGGCAGAACACTGTATATATAATAAATAAATCTTTAAAAAAACAAAAAACATGGAAGACTGACCCCACTCCCCAATGCCCCTTTTCCTCCCCTCTACCCGAAGAAGCAGAGTAAGAGGCCTCAGACTCAGCCGGGCGGTGGTGGCGCACGCCTTTAATCCCAGCACTCGGGAGGCAGAGCCAGGCGGATCTCTGTGAGTTCGAGGCCAGCCTGGTCTCCAAAGTGAGTTCCAGGAAAGGCGCAAAGCTACAGAGAAACCCTGTCTCGAAAAACCAAAAAAAAAAAAAAAAAAAAAAGAGGCCTCAGACTCATGCTGGCGAAGTTTCTGGAAGACGAGAGGCCCCTGGACTGCAAGGTTAGGGAACACAGCTGCATAAATGGGGGTAAACGCTAACGACTAGAGAACCTAAGGAAAGGACACGTGACGTCATCACGTCACTGCACACTTTCTACACGCCAACTGGAAAAATGAAATTTGAGTGAACAAATCATACATGTATAGATTGAAAAGATGAAGTAGGGGAGGGATGAAGATGGGGTCATTCCCCAAAATGGGGACATATGTTCAAGGATTAAACTCCAGATAACTCTAGAACTCAAACTATCAGCTTGCATCAACCTTGGATGATGACATCATCGTCGTCGTCATCATCATCATCTTTAAAGCCCTAAGCAAGATCTGTGGCACTTCTAATATCTGCTTCTCTAGGAGAGAGGCAGAGCTGACCATCAGAGTCCAACTTCAGTTCCCCAGTGGGGCCCCAAGATCTAGGAGACACCATGCATCTCTACAGGCCCACGTTGACTCTCCTCCCTGGGGCCAGCCTTCTCAGGGTGCCGCAAGCATTTGCGAATAAGGACACCCAAGTACCAGTGTATTGAAGAGCGGGTTTTTCTATGCCTGTGGCTGGCAAGTAAGTGCCGTTGTGAGAGTCGAAAACTTCACTACCAATGGATGAACTGTTCAGATGGCAACCTATTTCACTGGCCGTTCCAGGAAAGCAAGGAGTGGAGCCCTTTAGTGGGAAGGGAAATCTCTTACTTGAACACACAGTCATCTGCACCATGACATAGGAAGGAAGGAACTCTATTTGAGCCCTGGCTGAACTCCTTACTCCAGTAGGTCCTTCCCACATCTCACCACACCCTCAGCAGAGACAATTCCCTAAATGCCTGACTGGACACACATCTACCCTGCAGGGCCTGGCCTTGTTTCTAGGGCGGGGACTTACCAATGTCACTCAGCAGGGTAAGGATGGCTCCTTCCCGCAGGCCACAGCAGTTTTCGAACTGGTTCAAGTACTACAGAGAACATGAAAAGCGGGGTCAGATGTGGGTGGTCACGGACCCCTGAAAAGCCCACCAGCGTCTTCTGTCAGTCAGACGGCTGAGTGCTGGGCCTACACCAGGGATCCAGGGGAGCTGGCTGGGGGCAGTTGGGGCAGTAGGACTTGTTCCAGGGTCAAAGCGAGGCAGCAGTCTGTAGGTATCCATGTATTCACCTCCCCGGCCCTGGCAGGAAGCATTTGAGTCAGCTTCACTACGGCTGCAAGTCTGAAGAAAGTGGCCAGGGTCTAACATCAATAGTAACCAAGTTTGCTCTGGAAACTCCTGCAGAAAGGGCAGGCAGAGAACACTCACCAAAAGCCACCCTCCAGCCATTCTGCTAAGAGAGTCTTCTTGGATAATTTAATGTGGAGAATGTGCACTTGCTAAGTGCCTGGCATTGTGCCTAGTTCTGCAGGAATGAATTCAGCAGACTGTACCTGCTCCACCCAGCATCACTGTCCAGAGTCCCACAGCGCCCTCTACCTGCTCCACCCAGCATCACTGTCCAGAGTCCCACAGCGCCCTCTACCTGCTCCACCCAGCATCACGGCCCTGGGTCCCACTGTCCTCTACCTGCTCCATCCAGCATCATCGCTGAGTCCCACAGCGCCCTCTACCTGCTCCATCCAGCATCACTGCCCTGGGTCCCACTGTCCTCTACCTGCTCCACCCAGCATCACTGTCCAGAGTCCCACAGCGCCCTCTACCTGCCCCACCCAGCATCACGGCCCTGGTGCTGAAATCTCCACGTCAGAGGTAAAGAAACAGACTGGGGAGTCTAGTATCAGCCGGCACAGACAGTTGAGAGGCAGGGCTGTAAAGCGAAGCTAAACTTCCTGAAGCTGAGCTTTGAATCCTTTGGTTTCTGGCTCTCCAGTTTATCAAGGGGCTCCACATGCTGCTGTGAGTCAGCTTGTGGTCATTAACATTCAAATTCATGAACATGCCAAAGTTTACCTCTGCACCATACGTTTCACTTTTGTCATGGCTTTGGTTTGCTTTGAGGTTGTGGGGTTTTTTTCGGGGTGGGAAGGGGACAGGGTCTCACCATACTTCGTAAGTTGATCTCAAATTCTTGAAAAAAAAGTCTCCTGCCTTAACTTCCCCCATAGCTGGACTATAGGTACAAACAAAGCATGGTGGACTTAAATTTTGAAATTAACTCTGATTCCTAAATTTACTATCTGCTGATCAAGCTGATCTCTCTAAGGCAGTGGTTCTCAACCTGTGGGTCACGACCCCTTCAGGGGCTGGGCCACCTAAACACAGGTATGTATATTACGATTCACAACAGTAGCAACAAAAATCATGTTACAGTTGGGGTCACCACAACATGAGGAACTGTATTATAAGGTCACAGTGTCAGGAAGGTTGAGAACCACTGCTCTAAGACATGACATAGATTTTGGCCACTAATACAGATTTTGAACTTCAAAAACCAAAATAATTTATTATTTATTTATTTTATGCATGTGGTGCTCTATCTGCATGTACACCTGCATGCCAGAAGAGGGCACCAGATCCCATTATAGGTGGCTGTGAGCCACTATGTGGTTGCTGGGAATTGAACTCAGGCCCTCTGGAAGAGCTGCCAATGTTCTTAACCACCGAGCCATCTCTCCAGGCCGATTTTGAACTTTTAAGAGAAGGAAAAGACAGGCTACCTTATTTAGGAAACAAAGAGAATAAGATCATAAAAGCTGTCCCCAGTGCCCTTTCCAGTGACAGCAAGCACAGAGGCCCTTTTATGCAGCCACATCCTGCCTCTCCCTAGATCACCCTGCAGCCCATGCCAAGAGTCATGCTGAAATTTCCATCATCTTTTCCCTTGGCTTACGGGTTCTTTGCTGCCAAAAAGGGCAAGTGTGTATCTCCACTGCATTTCTGAGCACCCTGTCACCTGGTCACACCCACTCACTTCTCAGTCAGAGGCTGACAAACTTGCCACTTGATTCTAACAGCTTACAACAGCATGGTGGCATTTCCACCTAGCCGCAGATAGCAATCGGATGACTGTCACAGGTCAGAGACGATGATGCTGTGAAGCTCTCCATTTCTCTTCCGATATCATCCTACTTATGGAAACAGGTCATATCCTGTCCCCAAGCTACACCACTCTCAGGACTACCCACCCTTCCAGCGGGAGAATCACTCATGGAAACTTGCCTTTTTTAAAATAAGGGGAAAGGCCCCAAAGAATAAAGAGCGTAGGACATGACGTAAGTCTGGGAAACTGCTATGTAAAGAGAGAAGTGAAGGAGCATTCAAGCCCCGTGCTGTGACTCTTTTAGAGTCAAGAGCTGACCGGAGCTATAGCATGAGTAGATTAAAAAACAACTCACTTGGAGCTTTTAGTTTTCCCAACACTAAATGACATGGCCCAGGTTCACAGATGGGGAGATGCCCTACACCTGGGGTGGTCTGTGATCCAAGCTCCACATGCCCATTGTATGTAGCTAGTGATGTATCTGGTTAATGTCTCAGGGCCATGGCATCTACCTGCAGTGCAGGAATTCTATCTGGGTACCAATATGCTGAAACCATAAAGCAGGCACCCTACAAAAGCATAAAGAGCATCTGGGTGGCACACAGAACTGTCCCTGTGACCAGGGAGAACTGCCATTGCCCTCTGTCCCGTGTGGGTTCAGAGCAGAGATGGTAGGACACAGACAAAGAAAAGGGGAAGCCTGCAGGTGAGTCGGGATCTGGAACTGCAGCCCTGTTCTGATGACTAAGCTATCTCCCTTCTGCCCGCTGTGATTCTGAGGAGCATGGTCACGTCTGTGAAGAAAAGTCTCTCCCCATTGGACAGCAGTGATGCTGACCCCAAAAGAAAGTCTCTCCCCATTGGACAGCAGTGATGCTGACCCCAAAAGAAAGTCTCTCCCCATTGGACAGCAGTGATGCTGACCCCAAAAGCTTGCAGTGGCCCTAACATGCCAGACGGGGAAACGTTCGTGTTGAGACTTCATTCTGTTTCTTCCCTGTGCTCCAGGTCTGATGGTAACTCTTCCTTGTCACGTTAGTGGTCATGTGACACAGCCCGTCTTCAGCTTTCTTGCAGGTACTTCTGACTCAGCCTTTAGATTTATACATACAGAAACCACCCCAAAGGCGGCATTGCAGAGGGAGTCTGTGTAGACGAAGTTAATTCACTGACTCCTTGAGCTTGCTGGATGATGGTGAATGGTCTCTCTGTTTCTCCCCTCCCGGCGTCCCAGCCCTGCCTAGACGGACCTACATCTCACAACCCAGGAAGACTCACTCTTCGGAGATCTCCTCCTTGGCAGTACTCCATGGCCAGCAGAGGCAAGTCATTGGGTGCCAAGTTCTGCATCCCCTCTGGGACATCCCGCGCGGCCACCACATTGGGATGGTTCAGCCTAGAAAGAGGGGAAACCAATAAGCATTCAAACTTCAGTTCAAATCCATCCCCCTTGTTCCATAGCTCAGCTGATCTCACCTTCCAACAAAGCACAGAAGCCAGTCCCCTTGGTAACCAAACAGGAGAAGATGGGGGTCCAGGAATGGGAGACTTACCTGGTACTCAGTAAGTTAACATGTTTTTACTCAGCGTTCCTCAGCCCTCAAAACTCAAACTCCCTACAAGCATATCATGTATCATTTAATCGTCCTTAAAGGGTCCGATTTCAAGTTTTCCTTGTACTGTAAGATTGCTTCTAACAGGTGGCGACAGGGACCTCATGCCATTGAAGGGGAGGGATGATGCAACATGCATGTGGCCATTCGATGAAGGAGACAACTGCCCTTTTTAAGAAGTGAGCAGAGGACTGGAGAGATGACTCAGCAGTTAAGACCATGGGGCTCTTCCAGAGGACCTGGGTTTGAGTCCCAGCACCTGAATGCTGGAGTGCAACTATCTCTCAACTCCAGTTTCAGTGGATCCAACTCCCCCTCTGGTCCCCTCTGGCCCCCTCAGGCGCCAAGCATGCATGAGGTACACAGACAGATGTAGGCAAAACTCATACACATAAAAATGAAATAATTTTAAAAAAAATGAAAGAAGTGAGCAGGGGGAGCATCTGCTTGATTACTTCAAGCTAACTCTTACAGTGCTCATCTACAGGTCTCACCAGGTGGGAGGATCCACCCAGGACAGAGAGACCCTATCTCCACACTGTGTGAATATCCACAGAGAGCAAACAGCAACAGAGGGTCACATGCCACTCTGGAATTAGAAACATAGGGAAAACAAGGATTTTCGTTGAAATATAAAAACTTATCATGATTGACTGTTTTAATTAACTTAATTACTTGAGTAATTTTTGACAGGGTCTTATGTTGCCTATGCTGGTCTCAAACTCCTAGGCTCAACTATTCCTCCTGTCTCCAGCCTCCCAAGTAGCTGCACCTACAGGAGCACACCACCATGCCTAGCTATGACGACTATCTTAAATTTAATGTAACAGAATTGACCACAAAGTCAATGTAGTGTTTAAATGTTACTCCTTTAGAAGCCTCGAGGACAGTCGCCTCTCAGGGCAGCCTGAGCAGTGTTGGAAGAGACTTAGGGTTCTTTTCTAGACACAGCAGGTAGAACGTGCTGTGGTTTCCCTTCCAGCCTGGCAGGGCTGCGGAAGTGGAGTCTGCAGATATGGGCCCAGGCCCTCACCTTCTCATGATCTGGATCTCTAGGCACCATCGATCCCTGTTCTTCGGGCTGAGTTCCTGTCGGCACTGCTTGATGGCAATCTGTTCGCCTGTCGCCTACAGAAAGGGCACACTAGGTATCAGAAGAATTAACCACCAAACACCCGAGCACCCCAGAGCCCTGCCGGCCACACAGACACCCTAAAGAACAAGTGGAGAGTCCGGCCGCTCTCTTCACCATCCCCACATCACAGCTCACTCATCTGCTTCCTCTCCCCAACCAGGGACACCAGTCCTCCAAGCCTGCTCTGCCCCTACACCCTCCACAAAACCTCTGTAGCAAATTCCTGTCCAGGGACATCTCTCTCCATATCTCAACTGTTGCCATATTAGGTTAAACCACAAGGCACTGTTGGTGATTGGCCAGTTTCACATATAAAAATGGCACTTCCGTGTGATTTGACTTAATATTGGCACAGTGGGTGTCTCCATTACTTCGTGCAGGAGTTTTCTCTCTTCAGAGACAAGACTACAGGGTAGTCAACGGGACACAGCTCAAACTCCACCTTCTTTCACCAGCTCTGCAACCTCTGGGTAAACCATGTAGAGACTGTGTCTTTATGAAACAGGAACACTGACCTGCCACGATTCAATGAATGAAGATGAGGATGTAGCAATATCATACAGATAGACAGCCCACAGCGCGTATCTGACAGCTTCACAAGAGGACAGCCCTTAGCATGATGCATACACTCTCTCTTCTGAAGCTTGGCTTCACTGTCAATTTACACACTTATTTACTTTAGAATGTCTCATGAACCCCAGGCCGGACTGATAATCACTATGGTGACGTTGGACTTCTGATCCTCCTGATTCCTCCCTCCCAGGGGCTAGGATTACGGGTGTGCATAGACCACTGTGCAGCTCATACAGGGATCAAACCTAGGGCTTTGTGAACACTGGGCAAGCGCCCTACCAACTGAAGTACATTCTCAACCACACTGTGGTTTCTGCAATGGGAAAAATCAATATTTTGTGACTAATGAGCTGGGTGACTGGTTCCTTAGGTTACAGGTGCCTCTCTGCTGGTACACAAAGGAGTCCTTTGAACAGGGTTCAGAGTCTATGGTTTTGGCAGGAGCAGCAGAGAGAAGCCCTGGTGTGACGTGTCCTGGAGACAAAAGTGACAGCCTCGAGGAAGGCTGAAGGACAATAGTTATCAGTATTCCCCATTCACAGTGACACCAGCCAGTTTGCTGGGAACCGCTAGAAAGAGAAATCCTTTCCGACAGAGATTACTACAATCTATTGCTATAAAAACGCCTACAGTGGGAACAGGAAAGTAGAAGTTTATCCATGGAAAAAATGTTCTGTTCTGCCTGGGAATTTCTCATCTGGGAACTCTAGCGTGACAATTTCGGCTGGGGCTTCCCCAGTGGGTTTCTGATGGTTGATGTAATCACCTACCTGGCGATGCTTTAGTGTATGCTGCCAATTGGACTGCTCCGGAATGTCCTCTGAATGTTCTAAGCGCCCAGTTTGACGGTGCTTGGCTGTCTAGCTGCATGCTATTTCTCTTTGTCCTTTTGCTTTGGCTTGCTACAGACTTGAAATAAAAACTCACTCATTCCAAACTGATGGTGGGTTATTTTCCATATAGAATGAGATGTCTGCTTCCATATATAAAAGGCAAAGGACTGAAACCTCTAAAGACCTTCAAAATCAACTACAGTCAACATAGATAATACTGTCGGCCCCTGTGAAGGAGGTCCTAGAGGCCCCAGAGACCATTTTCCTCACTGGTACATGTTATGAAAAGGATCCTATATCTTGTAAGTGTGTGTGCAATTCACACAGTAATGAGCGGGGCTTAAAATGACATGCAGGGGACTGTGGCAAGACCTCCCAGCGGGCAGGTGGCTGTCATTAGGATCCAGCTTGCCTCGTATTTGCCCCAATGGCCCAAACTCCCGCAAGGGCTTAGACCACCTGGTAAGAGAAGGAAAATGGAAATCTCCAGACACAGCGGGCAGTTGTCTAAATGTGGCCACCGATCAACAAGTCAACCTGAAAACTTCAGAAATGGATGGCATTGTTCATTACCACTCTAATGCCCGAGCACAAATACTACAAAACCTCCAAAGTATTCTCAGACCTGTTTGTAGTCCGAAACTAGTGCTTATGTTACCCAAAATGCAGCAATCTCCATGCCTAGTTGTCTGCTATATTCTAAGTATATAACCAAAATAACAGCGAATGCCGGAGCAGGGTCCCCACCCACAAACCCCACGCCCGCTGTAGGAGTCAATTCCCATCTTCCCTGAAGTCTCTGTAGCCCCTGACAACACTGATCTACTTCTGCCTATACGGATTTCACGATTCGGACATTTCATGTAAATTGAGTCACACATGTATAATTTTAGACTGACCTTCTCACTTAAAGACACGTCTCCATAGTCCATTCATGCTGTAGCTATGTGTCCCCTTCTGTGACTTCAACAGGCCAGCCCACAGGAGGCGGGGTCATTAACTGGGCTCTGTCCCCACATCGCCCTTTCCTTTTCTGTCTGTCAGAATCCTGATTTTTTAGCCAGGATTCCAAGGCTCTCTCTGAAGAGCTGACTTCCTTTTCATATTGTAGCTCCTACTGAGGCTGAATCAATCAATGTGGCTACACAATCGAACCCAGGGAGAAGTCCATCTACAGTCTTCGAGAGTGAGAAGTCATATTAAAAAAGCATTTCTCTAGTCGATGTACATTCTCCGAGGCCACAGCTTGGAAAATTCCATACCTCGAGATCATGAGTTTCCAAGTGGTCTGCCCATTCGCAAACTGACCGGAGCTTAGTTTTCAGTTTCACTTCCTATTAGTGTTTAGATTCAAAATTTTTTTTTCTGCCCAATTCTAGGTTAGTTTCATCAACAGCAAATCCAACCAATGCTGTATGCTAAGGCTGGAATGTTGACATTTAATTACTTTTATAACAGTATTAAGAGGTGAGACTCTGGCCGGGCGGTGGTGGCGCACGCCTTTAATCCCAGCACTCGGGAGGCAGAGCCAGGCGGATTTTTGTGAGTTCGAGGCCAGCCTGGTCTACAGAGCGAGATCCAGGAAAGGCGCAAAGCTACACAGAGAAACCCTGTCTCGAAAAACCAAAAAAAAAAAAAAAAGCAAAAAAAAGAGGTGAGACTCCCGAGAGCTGATTGGGTCGTAAGGCAGCCATGGGTGAGACGTCATCACGTGGAGGCCTTTGGCCTTTCACCAAGTGACGGCGCAGTGAGAAAACTCTCATCAGATGCCAGAACCTTGACCTCAGCCTCACGCCCCACCTGTGCTCATGTAAGAACCCCTAATTAAATCCAATGGACCACACACACCTGAAAGACACGGAAGCAGGGGGATGTGTCGGTAAGAGGGGTTCAGTGGGAGGAGGGATAAGAGAAGGTAATGGAGGTGATATGATCCAAAAGTGTCAAAAAATACAATTAAAATTATTTTAAAAAGAAACATACCCCTCCCCCCCCAAAAAATCTATATTAAATTATTTCCCAAATGCTTGGAAGATGATTTTTACTCACTTCAGTACGTAAAGATTATTCTTACCATTAAAAATAAACCACCCAGACTCAAGAACTCTACACTGGCTTTCAGTCAGGGAGAATCTCCAGAGAAGCCTAGGCTTGTGGAAAGCGGAGTTCTACAGATGAGAGAGAAGCGGGAGGCCAAGCTGTAGTACAGAGGAGAGCTGGTGCAGGCACTCCTTCATGCAATGCTTCTGCACACTGCTGTAACAAGCGCTCCTTCATGCAATGCTTCTGCACACTTGCTGTAACCGGCGCTCCTTCATGCAATGCTTCTGCACACTTGCTGTAACCGGCGCTCCTTCATGCAATGCTTCTGCACACCGCTGTAACCGGTGCTCTTTCATGCAATGCTTCTGCACACTTGCTGTAACTGGCGCTCCTTCATGCAATGCTTCTGCACGCTGCTGTAACCAGCACTCCTTCATGCAACGCTTCTGCACATTGCTGTAACAAGTGCTCCTTCATGCAATGCGTCTGCACGCCACTGTAACCGGCGCTCCTTCATGCAATGCGTCTGCACACCGCTGTAACCTGAGCTCCTTCATGCAATGCTTCTGCACACTGCTGTAACAAGCGCTCCTTCATGCAATGCTTCTGTACACTTGCTGTAACCGGCGCTCCTTCATGCAATGCTTCTGCACACTGTTGTAACAAGTGCTCCTTCATGCAATGCTTCTGCACGCTGCTGTAACCGGCGCTCCCTCATGCAATGCTTCTGCACGCTGCTGTAACAGGCGCTCCTTCATGCAATGCTTCTGCACGCTGCTGTAACAGCTGCTGTAACCGGCGCTCCCTCATGCAATGCTTCTGCACACTGCTGTAACAGGCGCTCCTTCATGCAATGCTTCTGCACACTGCTGTAACCGGAGCTCCGTCATGCAATGCTTCTGCACACTGCTGTAACCGGCGCTCCTTCATGCAATGCGTTTGCACACCGCTGTAACCGGCACTCCTTCATGCAATGCTTCTGCACACTGCTGTAAAAAGCGCTCCTTCATGCAATGCTTCTGCGCGTCGCTGTGGCCGGTGCTTTAGTGGGTCTATGGTCACACGAAGATGCTGTAACTCATGTACGCTACCAGAGGATGACAGAGTCTAGGATGGAAGACTGAAAAGTCTGCACATCTCTAACTCTAACACACAGAGCAGTGTGTTGTGTTCCTATGGCAGTTGTCACAAATTAACCATAAACCCAGCTGCTTAAAGCAACACAATCTTACAGCTCTGTATATCACAAGTCTACAGTGAGTTTTCCTAGTCAAAAATCAAGGTAGTGGCAGAGCTCTGTTCTCTTCTACTGGCTCCAGGAGGTCATCCATGATCTTGCAGCCCAAGCTTGGGCATATTTTTGGACTTACGGCCCTTTACCTCATCCTCAAACCCACTAACGGCCATCTGCATCTTGCTCACCCAGGATCAGTCTGACACTGACTCTCTTGCCTCCTCTTCCACTTTTTCAGGACCCAGGTAATGACACTGGGCCCACCCACGTAAACTAGGCAGGTGATTAACAAAGCTAGATTCTCCCTTAC